TTGGAATGGCATTTCCTCCAGATGTTTCCTTTCAACAGTTCTCTTCCAACAACTGTTTCAGTTTTGGTTTTTGGTGGATTATTTTCAAGAAATAAGGAGGTCTTGTGAGGTATTTTTTCTATCTGAAATATTAGCTGTTGTCACTGCTGGAAGAATATGGTCCACACACATCCAACCTTTCTAATTTGGGGCTGTTTTCATAGTGCTTAGTTTTTCTATGGAGCCAAAGGCTTTCATCGTCAGCATCATTTGACTCAGTTTCTAAAATATTAATTGCCCAACTTGTACCAATCACTGACCATGCCTAATTTTTTTTGTTAGAAATTATTTTAAAAAACCCTTAAAAATAAATGAGAAAGACAACAAAGAACCTTACACTCCTCTCAAAATATTCAGTCATTTAAGTGTTCTTATATAAAAACCTTTGGAAAATAGAAACAATTAAGGCAGTCCTGTATAACGTAACAGTGTCGTTGTATTGACATATGCACATACTTAAACACTGATGCAAACTGAAACTGACATTAATGGTAAGTGCCAAATTAATTCATACCTTTTCAGCAAAACTAATATCTACTAGTTTAAATAACAGATATATGCTTTTACCTTTTGCTCCAGTTTATTTTGCTTAGCAGATGCAACAGACCAATGTCTAACTTCAAGCTGCTTTGCAGCTAAGAAATAAATCTAGGCAAAGTTTTTTCAGATTCTGTTCCATTCCCATTGCATCTGATCTCATCAGCAGACATGTAGGACCTAAGAAAAAATAGAAATATAAAAAAAATAGAAACATAATATCAATAAATGGTCAGGTTTTTTTTTTCAGTGTAGAGATGAATGTGTTCAAACATTAATTAATTATGGGAAAGTGGTGATTTGAATAAATTATTAATTTTGAAAAAAAATTACATTTTTATGTTAAAATTCTCTGAACATACATATTTCCTTTTTATCTCAAAAAGATTAGATCTAACTAAAATATTTGTTTTAAAAAGTGATAATAATGAAAAAAATGCTACAACTGTGCTGAACCAGACTTTTACAAAGAAAGACACAGAAATGGTGCATGAAAACACTCTTTGTTTGAATTTCAGATGGGAAAGTTTCAAAAGTTCAGCAATTCCTTTGGGATGGGAAAAGAAGTTACTGCCCAATTCTGCTCAGAACTGGTTATTTAATTGTGTCTGATCATGCAACTCTTTGACAAGAATCTTTGACAAAATTTGAAGAAATAAAAAAGTATATGCGATGCATCAATCACACATGTACATATAATGATTAATTTCCAGTCCTACCTATCTGTAAATCAAAATGCAGTTATTAGTTAAGCTGTTGTTAACTATAATTATCTTTTGTTTGCTTCTTCTAGTCAGGTTGCCATAGTCATTGTCTGTATGACATTATTCTATGTTTAAATACTGGAAAGCTCTTTTGGCAGGTCTTGCTTTACTTCAGCAGCACAATTTTTCAAGGGAAGAAAAAACTTCTTTAAAATATTTCCTAAAAGGACATCATATGAGTGTAAATATATTATAAGCTGATTAAATTAAAAGATTGCATCTCTTTAACTAATTCTAAATCAAATTCAGATCCCTAAAGAGAATATAAGCAAAATTAAGACCCTTGCTAACATTTGCTTCTTTTTGGTGCCTCAGACATCTGTGTTTAATTATACTTGTCAGTGGACAATACAACGTCTTCATGAGAGCCCGCATGTATCTTACAGCAGAGGGAAGATGAAGTTTCTTGAAGACAGCCTTCGAGGTAAGAGTGTATTTGCCTTCTATAATTTCTCAGACGACAGCATATGAATAATAGACTTTGTGGCCCACTGCCATTGTTGGGGGGTGGTGGAGGAGAAACTTACATAAAAATAAGACACAGTTATAGTCTGAACAAAACCCTAGATTTTCCACGTTTCAGTAAATCAGAAAGGTCTAGAAACTTCAAATTTGAAATAGCACTATTTAAGTACTTAGACAATTTAAAAATTAAACTTTCATGTCTTTCTAATTAGGAACAGGAACTGAACCGCTGATTGTTTTTATTTCTAATTCAGAGTAGATTTTGAGACACTCTTCCATAAGCAGTGGTAGGCTTACACAACACACAGAACACCAGGGACAGCTGAAAGCAGCCATATCCATGAAGATTTTTAGCAACATGTGCTTTCATGTATTTATAACACAGCAAAAGCAGTCATGTGATCAGTTACCCAACACCAGCCCATGCACAGGACTTAATTTAATACAAATGCCTTCCAACCTAGGGAATTAAAAAGTACACGTTCCAAAGAAGAAAGCTGACAGACATTCAGAATCACTATGTTCTTGCCTCAGTAATTTTCTTTCCCTCTTGCTCACCAGCACTGGTGAGAAGAAGGGAAAGAAACTGCTTCATTTTAAGTTAGATGTGTAGGTTTTAACTTTGTAGACTTACTACTTCTAGAAAGTTAAGGCTGTTACCTGAGAAAGCTCCTAAAGCTGCAGCATCAGTTTAAACCATGCTATAAATACAACCAACACAACTGACCAGCCATATAACATACAAACTATAAATCTGATCTAGGTTTGGGGTGGGGGGTTGCTGAGTTATTTTTAACCCAGATCACTTCTCTGATCTGTGTCACTGCTCAGACACTGAACAGCATCAGTGTAACAGGGGCACTGTATGATTCAAGAACATGCAGCAAGAGATGAGGACAGTCAGATGAAATGTACACATCTGCTGTAAAAAATGCTGCCAAACTGCAGACTAATATAATTAACAAATCATCCCACTGGCTCCTCTGAAATTGCCTTAGATGGTGAACCAAATCCAAGCACAAGTCACTGTGATATTTTGCCTCTAGTGTTATTAACCCACAGAGGACTGTGGGAGATGTGCTGTTGCAAATGAATAGCAGCAAGATGTTTTGGGGAGACATTTTTTATTATTTCAGGATAACTTAGATATAAACAGATACATAACTAATATTTGATTTGTAAATACAGGTACTTGGCTTCCAGTGTTAGTTCCACCTTTTCTGCAAATTCTCTTAATCCTTACTAAAACTCAAGTTCTCTCTCCATTACTCCATATTGTCAGTTGCATTTATTCTGCTCTCTGCCTGGTACCTGAATGGTACTGAAACCTGCGAATATTTCTCCAAATATGGATTTCTGACTCTCCAGTAATTTATATTCCACTGATTTCATTGATGCCTGGTGAATCATGATCACATCCACTCTAGCAGAGTCCAGGAGACAACACACGCATGTCCTCCTGACAGGTGAGGTACAGGTCTCAATTTCATATCATAGCTGTTAAGCAGCTATTTATGTGCCAATAATTGCATCCCACAACTTTACAATCTACCTTTTCCTGTCAGCTAGGAGCCCGGCCACCATCTCAACATGGTTCCTGCCTCATGGTGGCACAACCATGTTACAATTTTTCACCAACTAAACCACAATTTAGCATTTCAGTTTTGAATCATGGTTGTTTTGCTGCTTTGAAAATGAGGGTGAAAACTTCTTGAGTAGTAGAAATGCAGATTCACAGCTGCTGTTGATTGTTTTAACTCCTTTGATGTCAGTAATTGGAAGGAAGATGAATAGCAGCTGAGAAGCTGTTTGACTCCTTTGCACGAAACAGCCACTGCTCCACGTCAGCGTCATCCGGAGCAGCCCTCTGATGGCTCAAGAGATGAGGACTTAAAAAAAGATACACTGCTGACTGGCTGTCAGATCTTCCACTGTGCTGATCTCATTCCAGAAACTACACATCTGCATGTGGTCAGGATGACAAGATGTTTCACTCTGCATTGCCTCAGTTCCCTGCTTTGGTAGTTGCTCAGCATTTTGCAGAAGTGTGAAACTTTCCACATTTCCACTAACTTAATGGAAATGAAAGGGAGGTATTTTCCCAAGAAGCTTAAAATGTCATGTTCTAAATTTCCATTAGGGAAATCTCGCTATTATTTCTAACGCGTATATCACGAATCATACTGGATTTTATTCCAGATGCAGTAAGTAATCTTTGTAACTAAAATTTTCATTAACAAGTTTGTCTGTTCTTGTTTCTCAGATTCAAAATACCATTATACATAGGTCATCCATATACAGGGATTATTATAGCAACAGGGAAGCCCTGGTATTCAAAGGACTTTAGTGAGACAAGGTTTGCGACAGAAGTAAAAGCCTTGATTTCAGGATAAACACAACTCAGTATGAGCTAAATCAAGAATCAGCAACTGATTGCTGGAAACACACTGAGAAAAGCTCCTCACTAAGATGAAGAGAGTCCTTACAAGGTCTGCCAAATACAAGATCTCTTGCACAATGCTCATTTTCCTTTGTTCCTTTGCTGTCTGGAGGCATGGCTGCTAACTTTGTCAGCAACTGAAAAACTGGAGTGTGAAAAAGTTACTCTAAAATGTAAAAAAAAAAAAAAAAAAACCGATGGGGGACTGTTTTGACTACATCACACGTGAAAGGAAGGAGCCATCCTCAGTGAGCAGTCTTGCACAACATGGGTAGAGGCCAGGCTCACTGTGCTCTGTTTCTGCGGCACTGGTTTCAGGAATCAAATATCCCCCACCGAGGGAGGGCAGGCAAGACCCCCTCAGCACAGCGACGGTGGGGAAGGCTTTCGACACAGAGGTAGTGGGATTTCTTCCAAAATCTAAAAGGAAAACTCAAATCTTCTCCACACTTCCTTTCTCACAACACAGTCCTGCGGTTGAGTGGAGCTGCTCGCCCGCTGCTCGGCAGGAGATTTTAGGATGAGTTTCCAGTATCTCCATCCCCCGTCGCCGGCCCGGCCGGCCAAGTGTGTCGAGGCGAAGCGAGGGGGACGCGGCCCTCTCTGCTTCGCCGGTGTCGGGGTGGCCGCGTCCCACGGGGCCGTGCACTGTCCAGGGACACGGGGCCATGTCCCTTCCGCAGCGTCCCCGTGGGCGCGGACGGGGCGGGGAGAAACCCGACCCCCGCCGCCTGGGAAGGGCGAGGGGCTGCGGCCGCGCGGGAGGAGGTGGCGGCGTGCCCGTGTGACTCCCCCATTCGCGGGGACACCCCCAGCCCGGGCCGCGGGGAGGGTGACCCAGGGCGGGGCAGGGCAGGGCGGGGCGCGGCGCTGCCCTGCCCTCTCGCTGAGCGGAGAGGCGGGAAGCCGGCGTCGGTGTGCTGCCGGTCGGCCGGAGCCATGCGGAGCTGCGGGAGGGCGCGGGGCGCCGCGGGCTGGGCCGCCCCGCTGCTCCTGCTGTGGCAGTGCCTGCCGACGGCGCGGCCCTACAACCTGGACACGCAGGACGCGCTGCTCTTCCGCGGCAGCAACGGGACCTTCTTCGGCTACTCGGTTCTCCTGCACCGCCACGGCGAGGAGCGATGGTGAGTCCCCGGCCCGGCCGCCCCCGCGGGTCCCGTCGCGCCTTGTCCCGGCCGCGGCTCCTCACGCTGCCGTCTCTGCCCCGCAGGCTGGTGGCGGGCGCGCCCCGGGCTAGCTGGCCCGCCAACGAGTCGGTGGTCAACCCCGGGGCCATATTCCGGTGCCGCATCGGGGGGAGCTCCAGCGGAGAGTGCGAGCAGCTCCAGCTGGGTGAGTCGGCGGCGGGGCGTGGGCGGGGAGACCCCGGCGCGGAGCGGTCGGTGCCCGCCGCCCTGCGCGCACCGCGGCTCCGCTGCCTTGCGGGGCGCGCTGGGCCCTTCCGCCTTAAAATGCAGAGTGCTCTGCCAAAGGGTGAGATCAGCGCCACAGCCCAAGGACTGTAGCGGCGGCATCAAGAGAGATAGCATGCACCAAAACTCGATTTGGGGAAGTTAGGTGTGACAGATGTCGTTCCCACAGCCGTTTCGCACCTTTCAGCCTCCGAGTCAAAAGCCCTGTGAGTTTCGGTCTGAGCTTGCTCTGCGGAGAGCTGGTACAGCTTCCAGGGCAGTGGGTGAATGCACTAAGCTCAGGGATGGGAGGGTGGAAGTATGTGCCTAAGTCATGTTTTCTCCTGCAAAGCCTTCTCTTCATAGAAGTCACCCTAAAGTAACTCTGAACCGCTGTTGTCTTGCTGATGGGTTCTCCCTGCTTGCAGATTTATTGGCGTTTCAGACGAACAAAGTTATTTTTGACTGAATCAGTTTTTATGGGTCCTGCGTTTAACTTTGCTTCTCTCTATCTCCACAGTCTCCATACTTAGGAGATGTAACTGGCTGAACTTACTCAACTCTCAAGCGTTTGATACTTGTTAAAAAGGGGAAGGCTTTGGCTGGGTTGCCATGAACATGTGTGAATTGCTTTGGGCTCTCTTCCTGTCCCACTTGCATACAGTGCTGTTTGTGCTATTCATATGCTATGGAGAGAATCTTCTTCAACTTGTACTCTGCCACCCTCTGACCAAGAGTATCCCATCCGTTATGAGCACACCGCCCAGTAAGGCGAAGGGCGGGAAATGGGCTATCAAAATATTTGAAAGACATAGCACACCATGAACTGGTGGCTGTCAGGGCGGAGCTGAGCTTTCTGTGACCAAAAAAATACTAAAACAATTACTTCTCTACATCTCTGTGTCTAAAACTTAGAACTGACAGGTTCTATCCTTTTTTTTTTTTTTTTTGTAATGTGTAGTCCTATAAGAAAAAGGCAAGCAGTCGCTGCTAGAAAGAATGGAAATTAAATTTATACCAGCTCAAGTGGTTTTTGGGCTTTGTTGGATAATTTCATTCCAATACTATATCTATTAAAAAGTTATACATAACAAGACTTTATTTTTTTTTTCCTGACTGCATGTTTCTTATGAGGAGGCTTGCAAAAATTCTAAGAGGTCAGCTGAAGTGGTGAAGTAAAATATGCTAAGAGTCAATAAATCCCTGTTCCTGGATTGGTGGTAAAAATAGTCCTTTACTGTGGGAGGGAAGAAAAGGAAGGGTTGAAAGTTTCTGGTTCTTTGAAATCTACAAACATCTGCAGTGCCTTTCAGTTTGCTCATTTAGCCAATGGAGAAACAAAATCTCTAAAGAAATAATGTGATGTGTTTTTCTTCAATAGCTTAAGGGATTCTAAATGAAGTGAGGCAACAGGTATATGAAAAAGTTTATGTGGTTCCAAAGGCTTAGCTTAATGTGGCCTCTATTCCCAGGATTGAAGGCTGCAGGTTACACAACATACTTTTTTTAAACAATAGTTATACCACATTTTTGCAAACTAGGTTTCCATTACTGCAAAGATGACATCTTTGCATCACTAAGGTTTGTCTGTAGTATTTCTGAAGTTAAATGGAAGCTGAAAAGAAGTGCTGTATTGTAAAACAGGTCATTGAGGTCAGTGAAGAAGCCGAAGGCAGCTGTGGTACATGGCTTGTGAATGAAGTGGCATAGTATCTGAGGTCAGAGAAATATGCAGGGGAACTTGCAATCACAAAGCTGAACTTAATTATCTCTCGTCTAATTCATTCAAGTTTGGGTTCTGATCTCATAGAATAGGGAATTTCCTTAGAAAAATGTGTGTCAATATATTGTACTGCTGAGCAGGCACAATGAGAAATAAGTGTTTCTATCTTGCCCTTAAATAGATGAATTCCTATTTTGTTCTGGTAAAAACATCTTTGAGGTGGTAAGTTTCTAATTATAAGTCATAAAAAAGTAGAGGTGATAACAGGCAATAGAAATGGCTTTCCAAATGTTGGGCTTCTGAAATAAATGGATGTGAATTACCTAGAGACACAAGTATGTTAAAATACTTTGTCACTCCTTTTCGGTAAAGTAGCCTTGAAACTGCCATAACTAATTAATGAAGGGTTTGTGAACCATTAGGAAACCTCTGATCACACGAAACTGCTGTTGTTGTTTTATATGTCACAAGTTCCTATCTGCTTCCTCAGTAGCAAAAGAGCTGCTGGGAGCAGTCTTATGCTGCAGTCATCACAGTATCTAGGATAACTCATCCAGACATACTTTAAAGAATTCTGATGTTCTTCAGGATGTAGGAGGCCCTGGGCTGGTTTAAGATCTGAAAAGAGCAGTGAGATAAACTAGCAAGGCTTTGTCTTCCTAGCCCCTCATTGGCACTTTTAAATCTCTCTCTGATGGATGAATATGAGTTTTCAGTCTCTTTTTGAGTTCTGGTACTTCTGTTTATGGTGTCAAGAGTTCTAGACTACAGATTTATTTGTATTTGGAGTATTTTTAAATAATGGCTTATATTAGATGCGGAGGCTTGTAATCAAACTTCAAGTTTGTTTGATTACAAAACTTCAAGTACAAAATACAGTACTTCAGGTTGAAGCACTAAAGGTCCATCATCTAGTCTTGAGTTTCAAATCCTTGCCCACATCAGTTTGGGGTAGTCGGGGATTATTGCAGAGGAGTTTACACAAAGTTATTTATATGTTTTGAACTGAATTTTGGACATACGAAACGTTACAGAAATTCTTCAATAGCACTGCTGTCAGTGATTGGCTGGGTAAAGTATATAGGAAATAATTTGTGCAATTTGCCATCCAGTCTAAGGAAAAAATCAGTTTTAGCTACAAATGAATGCAGTAAATTCACTGCATACTGTTTAACATAAGGCCAGAAAGCTCTGCCTGCAGTTTCAGTCTTGCTCCCTTCCTTTAAGTCTCTGCTTCAATTAACCTGTGAACAAATTGCCCTCTAGCTCCCCCAGCTGAATCATTACAATGGAAAAGTGAACAGTTAATGGTTTTCCCCAAAGGCAGAGCTGTGTCTGTTCAACTTGGATTTCAGTATGTTTGAGTTTTGGTAGTGTGGCTTTTTATGTTGCTTGCACTCCTCATACCTTGCAAGTGGCATCTTTCAAATAGCCATGCTGTTCCAAGGATCATGGGATCTTCTGGACCTAGGTCTGTTACAGAAGGATGGAAACAGGTGTCATTTAAAATGTTTTGGTTGAAGTCATTTGAAGGACATAAGAGGGATAAAACCCATCAGATCTATGAAAATAGAAAGTACTTCCTGGGTGAGTAAAAATAGACTCTGAGACCCTGACACCTAGGAGCAGGATATCAGAAGGCTTATTGCCTTTGCAGCAGACTTCATTGCTTTCATCAGTTAGCAATAGGACCAGAGGAGTTATGGCAGGATAAAGTGGGTGATGAGAGGCTGTTGGGCATGGAAAACACTGGAGCAAGTTATATAAAACTGGTTTCTCAAGATGACATAGCAAACATGTGTATTATGATCCTTGAGGCCAAAACCAGAAGTGGCTTTATAAGTTATGACCATATTTGTCAGCAGTTGCATTGTTTCTGTGGATGTGTTCAGAGGGGATTATAGCAGAAGTGTATCTTCCAGCTGTGTAATGTACACAGGCATGGGCAATTACTTATTTCTCAGTGACTTTATGACAGCACGTGCTCCTTTTCCCTGAGGCAACCAAGCTGCCATGTCCTCTTGAGCTTATGCAGTGCTACTCTGTTGCTTGTGCAGAATACTGCATTTTCTCATTTGATAAAGCTTTTATAATGTCATAGCCTGAGCAGGGACTCATCAGGGTGTCTGGGATGTCAAGTTCTCGCCTCTCTCTCCCACAGAAGTCTGTAATTTCAAGGTGGTTGAATACTTGCCAGTCAGTGAAAGGGAGGAAACATAAGGCAGCATGTCAGCAGAGGGCCAAAATAATCCTGAATCAACATATACTGGAGCAAAGGAAAAGGGGAATGCAATCCAATGAGTGTTGAGGAATGATGGTGCTTTTTCTTGTTACAAACCTCTGAAAGAGGCACAGGAAGGAAGCACTGAGACAGGCTGAACTTACTCATCTCTCACATCATCATTGTCTGGTTTTGTTTGATTTACTGATAAAAAGTCTCAGTCTCTGGGGGTCTAAATTTATTGCCCTGGTCTTCTCTACTTCTTCCATGTCCTGTAAATCCACATAAAAATAAGTCCCAGGTAAGTCATTGTTAGAAGATGATGGAGCTCATTGCTAGAAGAGAATTACCAAAAGTGCCTTGTGCAATTTAAAGGAGGACTAATTCTTACACATGGGAGTATAATGGAGTTTTCTTTTCTGAGGAGATTTCAATCAGATTCAGGTGTTCTATAATTCATGTAAACCATGGAAATGTCTCCATTAGGAAGTGAGAAGTTTTCCATTGCATAGCTCCAAAATTCAATTCCAAAACTAAATTCCACACTTGTTTCTGAAAAGCAGTACATATTCAGTACAAGGAAGTTCACATCTCTGACATTAGCCAATAGGATAATCTGTGTATTCATTTAAACTCTCTAGTGCATTTGACTGTAATAAATGCCAGTTGTGCTCTCAGCACAAGATGTTTTGTTTGGTGGGTCAATTTTTGGTGGGGCAAGGGGTAAGAAGGTGTGGGGTGTGATTTACAGGGCTTTTTTCCATGCAAACAATGTCCCATCAGCGTTAGTGTTCTGTGGTCTGTACTGACATCCTCTTCTGGGTAACTAAACTAACTCTTAAACCTCAAACATTTTGGGTTCACCTGTAGCTGTATTCAATCTGAGAAAGTTTTAAAAATTATGCAAAAGAGGTTATTCAAATGACCTAATGTGTTTCCTTATTTTATAGGAAGTTTTTTTCATAAACTATTATGCTGATGCATAGAAAATACCAGTTCAACAATTTGATTAATGCTTATTCATACAAACATCTTAAAAATTAAAAACTTCCTTTATATAACTTAGAATAAATGTGTAGCTTCTCCTTACCATGGGGATCACTACTGCTTTCCAGAAGAAAGCAAATGTTTGCTAACTTGTCAATACTGCAGCCTTTTGGGCTGTGGGGGCAGAGTTAGAAGACATTTCCATGTGTTTCTCAAGGTTTTAAAAAATAACTCTACTTAAGAACTACCACTAAGCGCTGCTAGTGAATAATTGCAACAGTGACAGAAGAACGCAGGACGTGCTTAGGTAATGATCTGCCATCCCCAGTAGAGGTGGCAGTTACACAACCTTTATTTGATAGCCATTTGCAGTAGAGATTGTTTTAAGGTCTGCTACCAATACACACGTAGTTGGAGAGATGTTTGCTTTAGGCTGGAGTTTAGTTGGCACTCACAGGTATTACTTGTGTTTCTTACGAACATTTAGGCTAAAAAGCACTTACAGGGACAGCCCTTCACCAGAATTGAGTGTAATGTCACTTTCTGTCTGAGTCATGACGGAGAAGCTCATCCTCACTCCTTCTATCACATTCAGAGCCAGTATGTTCCCTTTGGCTACCCACAATCATACCTTTACTCAAGAAGAAAGTAAAAAGTCTATGTGACCTGTGTGAGACAAAGGTCAGATCCACCACACCCAAACTGCTGCATTGTCCCCCCAGAGTTCTTGGGTGCTCCTGTTACCCACCACATTGTTCTTCACCTTGTCTCTCTGTTCAGATCATTGGTCTTTGTCTCCTAGGCCAACCTGGTGGTGAGCGCTGTGGGAAGACGTGTGTGGAAGAGCGGGATAATCAGTGGCTGGGTGTCAGCTTGTCGAGGCAACCAAAGGAGGGCGGATCTATCGTTGTATGTATTAACCACTGGGACTGTGTGTCAGACTGCAGCCAGCTTTCTTAGGCTTCCATGTTGAATGCTGTGTTTGTTTTATATCCATAGGCTTGTGGACATAGATGGAAAAATGTGTTTTACGTCAAAAATGAGCACAAACTGCCACATGGCATTTGTTTTGCCATCCCTCCTGATTTTCGAACTCAGCTGAGCAGAAGAGTATGCCCATGCTATATAGGTAAGCAAAAGGCTTGAGTCCTTTTGCAGGGAAGGGTGAGATACACAATTGAATGGTGCAGAGTTGGTGAAAAGCCTGTGTTGCTCTGAGCATGTGTTCTGCAGCCAAAGGCTTGGAGGGTGAGTGCTGATGATATGAGCCCAGTTTGTGATGTAAAGATGTTTATCACTTCAAAGAAAATATGCTTTCAAAAGGCAAAAGAAATAATTGGAACAGGGCATCAGAGTAGTTTTTTCCTGGACTTCATTGCTGAAGGATGTGTTCTTCTCAAAACCAGGCCAGTGGAGGACATACATCCTTTCTTTACTCTTGGCATTGCTCTGGAGAGTCTCACAGCAGAGCAGTAGGAATACCTGCAAGTGATTGTTGCTGTCTGCTCCTCAGCCTTTGATACAAAGGTGCTGCAGTGCCTGTCTTAGTGCATGTCCTTGTCCCTTACTTGCCTTCTGCCAAGGTGCTGCTGTGGCATGAGACCTTCAGGGGTTCTTCCTCAGAGAAGTTCAGGAGCAAAATAAGAGTCAAGACCTGAAGCTATCAAATTATTTGATCCATGCTTTCCCATTCCTATCTACCATCCACCCAGGAGAACAATCTTGTGCCCCTGTGCTTTGCCAATGCAAGAATCAGCTGACAGTCTGATTTTTCTGTGCAGAGTAATGCCATCAAGTGTCCCACTGCTGGCTTTGGAGACTCTTACACGGGGTGGTGAAATCATGGGTTTTTGTCTTTGGAGACTTTAAGTGTACAAATCTATGTATGGAATGAAGGGAACCCTGATGGCAGGCAGTCAGCAAAGAATTGCAGGAAAGCAGAGCTGGCACAGTGTTGGATTGCTAGGATGAAAGCAGTATGTCTAAGACTGCCATAACACAAACCTTCATGGCACCAGTGGAGCACAGGGCAAGTTCAATCAAGATACATAAGCCTGTCAGAGTATGCCTGAAGTATGGAGTGGAAAAGTATCCAGATGTGGTGTTCAAACTATTTGGCTGTTTTGTTCATGGAACAATTTTGAAAGTATAGCCTTTAAAGTCACAATATTTCAAAGGCAGGTGTTACAATAGTATATTGCACCTAAAGGCTATAGTGGAAACCAATATTTTTAGCTTTATTACAGAAATGAAAACCAACTTTGTGGGGAAGGCAGTGGTTTTTTCTGCTAAGTTGTCTCAGCTTCTGTTGAAAGCCTGGTGATAAAGCTCTGTAACTATGTGTCTCTCATCCATTTTAATATTTCTTGCCTATTGCCAGATCATGCACGAAAGTTTGGAGAAAACCATGGGTCATGTCAGGCTGGAACGTCTAGCTTTTACATTGAGGTGTGTATTAAAGATACCAAAAGTGTCTCTGTTTATATACTCACTTTTATGTATAATGTCTAAAAGTGGATATGTAAATGCTAACATCAACACTGTATTTTATTATGGGAGGCAAAAATCACTTTTTAATGTATTTTTAATTGAATGTTGCTATGACTTGCATGATAATTCTCAAGTCTTTAATTTTTATTCCCAAGAATACTTTTACACCTTACTAAATCCAAAGTTATTTTTCATCTAGAAAAAGAACATGGATATAGCAGAAGATGAAATTTTATTATTCTTTTTAATCTGTTTGATGTAACATTTATAATGCTTACCTTCTTGCTTTGCAGAGTAATATTCTATATTATTTAATCTCCATTCCACCTTAAGATTGTAATTTCTAAAAAACTCTTTTGAGAAGAGGATATCCTCATTCTTGCTGTCTTTTGTTGTTACAGTTCAAAGCTTTTAATAATGGTATTTTTATGAAATCTGGAAAACATTATCTGTAATTTAATAGTAAACCCCAGTGCTGAGCCAGATGCATCTCCAGTAGCATTTCATAGAATTCACAGGAGATCTAAAGAAGAGCATTTTACTTGTTTTTCTTATTTTTGTGAACATTTCAATGTGAATAACATGGCTGTGTTTTACTTTTCTTTCAGGACTTAATTATAATGGGAGCCCCTGGATCATTCTATTGGACTGGTTCTGTGTTTGTGTACAACACAACTGCAAATACAATCCACTATTACACAGATTCAGATAACGAAGTGAAATTTGGCAGTTATCTAGGTACTTAAAGTATTTAACACTTTACTAAAATATAAGCTAAATAGTTTTGGGGGGAGTGCACAGTGTTTTTCAGTGTTTTCACTCTTAAACCCAGAGCAGTTCTAAAGGTGTGTTCTGATTTTGTTAATATGATAAGGCTTCCTCTCTGTTCTTTTTATGAGGAAACTTCTCAAACAGTGGATTTCTATTCTTATAATCTCACTGCTGACTTTTAACCATTTATTGATTTAGAAGGTAGGGATGCTTCTGATTAGCAATGGTTTTCATTTCACTCAAGTCTGCAATGCTGCCAAGAGCTTTCACAGACTTTAGAAACAAACTTTCTTCCAATGTTTTTTTTTTCTTTTTTATTGCAAATGTATCTTAGTCTGGATATGTGAGAAGGCAGACCTCATTTATGAATGTCTGTAACCAAGGCCATGAAGTTCTACTCATGTATCTATATCCAAGTAACTAGCTGAATTTGATGCTACAGTTTGGAAAGGCTTGTGCCAAAAAAACAACAGCAGCTTCAGTCGTCTCACTACACTGAGAAAAGCTCGTCTGTCCTTCCTGAATTCCTAAGCAAGAATATTTTTGCTTGTGACCATTGGGTTTTGCATTTTCCCATTCAAAGTTCCGGTGCGCGTGGATAAACATTTCCTGTTTCTGATTCCACTCCTGTGACAATAGGAAGTTGGCATATGTTATGAAATAGCTATTGTGAAACACAGTGAGCTAAGACTTCAGAATTCAGTTCTGGGCCTGCAAAGGCCACAGTGACTCTGTGGGAAAGTCAAGCAGGAGAGAGACTGCCTGGTAAAGGGGATCAGACACGCAGATCCCTAGTAGAACTAGGGAGACACCAGTAGACACCCTAGCAGACTCCAGTGGAACTTCTAACCTTCCCCAGGACAAAAGAAGCGCTTCAGAGAATGGAAAGCTCCAGTTTTCCAATAGTAATCAGCAGAAAAAGTACTGCACCAGTCTAGGGAAAAAAGTTCATTCCAGATTTCTGCTTCTCCAAGTATAAGAATGAGACTTTCTGTAATGAATGAGTCAAATCGTTGACAGCCAGAAGCCAGATCCAGGCAAATGGGTAAAAACCTGCATAGGGACTGTGTTGGGGAGAGGTTAGGGAAGGCCTTTCCACACATATGTGGTCTCTCTAGTTGCCTTGGCCATCCAGGACCTTATACCAGCTGGAGTTTGCTTCACTCTGGTGATATGGTGCATGTTGGCTCAGCACAGCCATATGTCTTCTGAACTTGCCCTTCTACAGGAAAGTGGAGAAGGGCACCATTGACTCATCTGTATGTCTTTACAGTAGCAGCTGTGATAAACTTGGAATTTTGCAGTTTCATGCTACTTTAACTTCTGCTCCTTTCCTTCATAGTGTGGTTGAAAGGATATAAAGGTATCTTCCTTCCCTCCCTCAGCACCTGTCCCATCTTTGTCTGATAAACCTGGAATTTTGCAGTTCATGCTTCTTTAACCTCTGCTCCTTTCCCTCATAGTGTGGTTGAAAGGATTTAAAGGTATCTTCCTTCCCTCCCTCAGCACCAGTCCCATTTTGTAATTATTGAAGATGAAAATCTGTTCATTGTTAATTCTATTACCAAATTATTTTTCTTAGAAGTCTGAGTTTGTTGCTCCCTTTAGTAATGAATAAAATTATCCCTACCAAGTGGTGGAAGTATATTGTGACCAGAGTGTAATTCAATCATGTGAGTAGATATCATTATCTACTTACTCTATTCTTCCACTGGTAGGGACCAAGATGTTGGCATCTTTATTTATGTTTTTCATTAACCTGTTAAAGAATAATAATTAAGAAACTGGAGACTACAGGAAGTGCAGTAGTATTGTGGCATTTTCCATAAGTTGGAAGAAACAAAGGTGTTCATGTACCAGACAACTGAAAGAAAGAATGAAATTGGATATTTGTAATACATAATACTAGGTAATATTTTCTTGACTACTTCAGAGTCTCTCGGAGAGTAGTAGATAACGGACTTCTATAAAAGGAATTTTCAAAATTATTCAGTCTTTCAAATCAGCTGGCCCTGATGAAAAAGTAACCTTAGGCACTTAAACTGCCTTAAAGAAATCATAAAATAGAAGACAATTTTAGAAATCTGAGAAAGGCAAGTAACATTTCAGAAAACTGACAAACTGTAGTGATGGTAAAAAGGAGAAAACTATGGAGTTGGAAATAAAATTTCATTTCTCTATGCCTTTAAATTTAAAGGGTCAGTTTTGTGATGTCCCCTTTCCCTGCCAAACATTTTAATACCATTAAAGAAAAATGAGAACTATGTGATTACTGTAATTCTTGTGTACATTTGGCTTTTTTTTGAAGTCTTTAAGAATTTGTAATGTTTACACGTTAGCAAAACAAAAATAACTAGAAAGTAAATGTCAGAGGAGGTAAATGAAGGTTCATCCTTAATTTTTTGTTGAGTAAATAAAAACTAGGTGTTGACCTTCAAGTGATAAATTTCTCTGTTCGTCTCTTTTAGATGAAAATATGAAAAGAAAAAGGTGGCTTAATGAGAACTTGAATTCTAGGCAGTTATCTTCACAGACAAAAGATTCAAAGCTTGTTCTCATCTATCCAAGATGATTTTTCCATTTTCTCTGCATGGTGTGAACATCAGCAGTCATTCAGTAAATGCGAGAGTAGTGGAATGTTATTTGTCTTGTATTCTGAGCTGTAATGTACTCTGGAAGGTGTAAGGATGACTTGTGCAGCTACACGTTAAGGTGTTAGCCTTTGTTTTGCAATTCAGTGTGGATGTCTGCACCAAAATATGGTCCTATTTATGATCTCTCTGCACATACAGAAATGCTTTGGGAGGTAGATTTATTTACAAAAGCTGATGTAATGTTTTCTTATTGCATAATAAGGCTTTTGCAATTTGTTCCTGACATTTTATGTCTGTGTCCATGGTGCTCCGTGTGTGTATGTGCACATAGAAGTAGCACTACATCTAATTTTTCTTCAATCCAGTTATAATAGTCAAAGAGTAACAATTGAATCAATTATTTCCACATTCCAGTGCTTGTACTTGGATCATTTTTATTTGCATTAATAGTATGAACAAATAGCTGAACAATTGCAGAATATGCATTAACAGAAGGTGTTTACAATTTATTTTATTGTCTCTTGAAGTATGGCAGATAATTGAGTTCTTTGGAAGAAATGAGTGTTTCTGACACTTTTTCCTGCTTGATGGAACTTACTGTCTATTGTGACCTTTTACTTCAAAAACTTTCTATTGTTTTCATTGCTAACTTGCATGAGTCTGAATGTCAGATTTATGATAATTTATGGTGTTGACAGCTTTTATAAGGCGTGCTCCCATTCTTTCTTTGTTACATAGCATTTCCAGTACTGAATAGTGCATTTCTGATTTGCAGGATACTCTGTTGGAGCTGGACATTTTCTGACGCCATCCAGTATAGAAGTAATTGGAGGGGCTCCCCAACAGGAGCAGACTGGTAAAGTAAGGAATTGTCTATAATACTGGCTTAAAGACTGTAACCCCACAGAAACACCCATGATCTTCCAATTTAGATTAATACATTAGAGACAAGTACCAGATATGACTTCTCAGGGGGGGAAAAGTTGAATAAGGAATTAGGGTAGGCAGTCTGGATAACACTGAAGAAAGGTGCAGGAAGAAAACAGGAGATAACTGTACTTTGTGATATTGTGCACTGTTTTGCTGATTCTCTAGCACATGCTGTAGAGAAAGCACTGGGAAGTATTTCAGATTGCAGTTTGCTGAATTCTGCTTTTATTTTCTTTTCCTTTTAGGCATATATTTTTAGCAATGAGAAGCAACTAAATATTCTCTTTGAACTAAGGGGTAAAAAGGTAAATCTACCATATTACTTTTTTGCACCTTATAACTTTTAGCGCATCTTCATCAACATTCAAACATAATAATGATTTCTTGTCTGCACACAGCTTGGTTCTTACTTTGGAGCTGCAGTTTGTGCTGTGGACCTGAATTCAGATGGCTTCTCAGACTTACTAGTTGGTGCTCCAATGCAAAGTACCATCAGAGAAGAGGGAAGAGTTTATGTCTATATTAATTCAGGTTCTGTAAGTATTTTCTCTTGAAAACACAGGGCAACACAGCCGTTCTGGTTTAACAGGCTAAGGGGAAGAGCTTTCCTCTCTTATCCCATATTTCCAGATATGGAAAAAGCAGCAGTAGAGCTGTGATGAGTACCCCAGCAGGGAGTGCACAGCACACCCCCAAAGGCTGCAGTGTCAGCTTGGCACAGTTACTCCCACCAGTGCTGGAGCTGCAGACAGACTGGGTTCATCTCCTAGGAGCCGTAGGTGGTGACAGCCTGCCACTGCAGCCCCTTTCCAAGCTCTCCTCCACTACTGTGCTTCCCACTGAACTGCCATCTGAAGAGCAACTTACCAAGCCTTCAGAAGCATACAAGGACTGAAGCATTTGCTTGCAGTTACTGGTACCAGTCAGGAAAGAGACTGGTACTCCTCAGTTTTGCAAATGACGTGACTGGACAGATCACGCATCAGATCATGCTCCTTTTTATTCTTTCTAAGGTTCAGAAGTGAAAGTGTAATTACTTCACTATTCTTTCACTAAATACCATAAAATGTATTTGAAAATGCTTGCTTCTACATCAAGAAGTTTGGTAGGGTTATATATTGGTATCCAAGGCAGTTTTAACATTTTGAGTAATGTTCCATTTATGTGCCATTGACTCTGTTTTCCGTCAGGAAGCAAAGATGGTAGAGCTGAACGTAGAGCTCAGCGGGAGTGACTCATATGCAGCAAGGTTTGGAGAGTCCATAGCCAATCTAGGAGACATAGATAATGATGGTTTTGAAGGTAAGAATACAAAGAAAACCTGTTGGGTTTTATTCTCTCTGATTAATGGAATGTCATAATAAACCAGGAGGATTATGGAAGTCTGAGAACTCTTTTGGTTTGGCACTGGACTTTTCTTTTTTGACTTGAAATACAGCTGCTTCACAGGCAGTGACATTTAATACCAAGGCACTAGGTTCTGTCTAATAAAGAGTATAAGCATAAAGTGATAGCATAATCTCAAATAGAATCACTAATCCTGTATTAAATATCTGAGACGAAGGTTGGGGAACAATTTGGCAATTCTGTAACAATCATAAACAAAAATGGAATCAAAATCTGCTTCTTTGTCACCAGTAAGTACTAAATACATGGGGATATTGAAAACAACCTTCACGTTGTGACACTGGAAATATTGAAATAAAAAGTGGATGCAAGATGGAGAGTGGCAGCAGGAAAAAAAATTGTGAGAAAAAGGCTGGAAGCAAAATATAAAGAGAAATTGGGTAATAAAAAGCATGTTTATGTAGTAATTAAAAAGCAGAACAGAGCCATCTTCTTCAATGATCTAAACCATCAGTATCGGCCCTGTAAAGATAATGGTGTGTGTTGGTGTAGAATCTGACCTCAAGAATGTGTGTGTAATTGTAAGAGGCACAACTTGACTGTCCCATTTTCATCTCACCAGTAGAGATGTATAATGTGCTTTATGTGGTTTAGTCACCACAGCGTGGACTCAGTCAGTGTGGATTCAATCAGAGAATTGCTCTGTCAGGCCAAACAGTCAGAGGCTTTGCGTTTCTTGGGATTTTGGTTTGGTGCAGCATTAAGTATTTCTGATTGGCAGATACTTCAGTTTTTGCTTATTTGTAAATGCAAGTTCTCAGGTATTAATAGTGACTTTCAAGATGGTATAAATAATCTCCCCATCGCTCCCTCCATGGCTTGGTTAACAGCCTCTGGCTATTTGAAGCATGGGAGTTTTTGGTAAGGGCTGTTTAGAGTGGATTGGTGAGTATATATGTTCATTCAGTTTGTTATGAGTTGCCACACCCCTGTGGGATTAGGTCATCTAGGCATAAAACATATCCCTTTGTACCAACCAGCTACCTTCATTTCCTTGTTAAATGCCTTTCCAAACTTATTATTAACTGTTATGGACATTTCATAGAAAAATAAGTGGTTTATTTTGGGCACTGTAATAAGAGTACTTGTGTTTCAGTGACTTAATTCATGTGGGAGGAGCAGGAAAATCATCACTGTTCCATAAATACAAGGCTTGCTTTTTCTTTTTTTTTTAAAGACCATGATAATTTTGCCTTTTTTCATGGTAACCTTTTAACCTCTTAAGGGTTAAAATTAGCATTGTTGGAAATAGACTTTGTCTTTAACAAAATGGCAGTATGTGATTGTTGCTTTTCACACACAGTAATTAAGGTAGAATCAGATTACTGAGCTGGTTTGTATTGTTTCTGTTTGCTTTATATCTGTGTTCAACACTGCCTTTGAATTCAGGCAAGTAAATCTGGTCTGGCATTGCATGCATCAAGATTTGCATTTCTTAAACTGTTTAGTGGTCATATTTCCTAGTCAATGATCATTGCTGAATTGTTTTTCCACAGATGTGGCAATTGGGGCTCCACAAGAAGATAATCTAAAAGGGGCCATTTATATATACAATGGCAGGAAAGATGGAATAACACCATCATTTTCACAGGTACACTTTTCAGTGCAAAATACCCAATCCAGAAACCCCAAGTTTAAATCTGAGAGGGTTTTCCCTTCATTTTACAGTCTGACCATCTGAAGTATATTAAAAGACTTCAGAAAATTTTTATGTGGTCTGTGATTTCCAGTCATAATATAACATGTAAGAGAGAAAAAAATTGTTTTGGGAGCTTTAAAAAAGGTTTATGGGATTTAAGTTCAGCATCAGGATTGTTCTGCTAACATTTTTCATTGGAAATTTCAACTCAGAGATTAGCTTTCCAAGTAATTTTCTCTTTTACATTTTTCTCCTCAGAGAATAGAAGGACAAGAAGTGAGTAATTCTTTAAGCATGTTTGGCCAATCCATATCAAGTGGCATTGATGTGGATAACAATGGTTATCAAGGTAAATTAAGCAATTTTGTTTATTTTTAATTTTTAAAAGAATAGAAATTCGTAAGGAGCAGACTTATTGTGCTGCTTGATACTTTTAACAGAAGCAGAATCTGTTATTGAGGTGACATGTCACATCTCATATTTTGGGAAGAAAAAAGAAGAGGTGAAGCTGAGGCCAGGCAGTCAGTTTTCACGGTCATGTAACTATTCTTTAAGGACTGAGAACAATGTAAATGTGAGATCGTAGTGCACAAGGGGAAGAGAAATGGCATGTATATTTTCAAAGCAGACATCTCATCTACAAATGTCACAGTGAGCTGGGCACTAGAAGCATGTTTATTGTCCAGACTAGTGTGCTAATCTAAATATATTGCTGGCCTTCCCAGAGTCTGGATTTTGACAGGAGTCATGGGCTCCTTGGTGGCTCTCAGTCTGAGTGAACAATACTTTAACCTCACTTAGGGCTCATGGCATTGAACTAACACCATTGTGTAGTTCTTGTGGCCATGACAAAGTAGTGCTAACTTGGTGCCAAGCATATATTAATTGTTTTATACATATCATCAAAACATTTTGACATTTTGCAGATATGTCTTAGGTTTGGCATGTCTGTCCTGCTCTTAGGGATGTAAAAGCACAAAGTTGCCGTGTTGTATGTCCTGGCTGTGTCTACAGAAAGGTTATCCAGGTTAATTTGTAATGCTGGCCTAAAAGGCAGGTTGCAAGTAGTCTGCTCACAGGTCAGCTGTTGGTTACTAGTCTGGCAGTCACATCCTCAGGCCCTTATATCATTTAGTCACCTAACAATTCACTTTTGCTACTGCATTTGAGAGGTATATTTACTGTCTGTATTTCTTTCCTTCTTGCATGAATCGATTTCAGTTCATTTGGAATAAAGGAAATACTTTTGTCTCTCTCTCTCTCTGTCTATCTATAATTTCATACATATAATAGACATAAGCAAGTCAGTTATATATATAAAAAACAGTATGTGCATGTATAGCAATATTGAATATCTGGATGGAGAAGAAGACAAATATCTCCTATTTAGCTGAGTTGTCCTTCAGTATCAACCACTTAAATGTGAAATAAAAATAAAATCATCACATTATCAGTATCTTGAACTCCAGAAAATTAGCATGCAGCATTTATGGACAGTGCACAAGTATTTAAGGAACTGTCTTTGAATATAGTATATCCCTTCTATTAAATAAAGGGCAAATGGTGTCTTATTATTCACCAAAAGGTGAATATGCTATAAAATGCTTGTGCCTAGGAAGTAATTCCTGTTGAAAAATTATGATTATTGATACATTCTTTTTGTGCAGATGTAGCAGTTGGTGCATTTTTCTCTGATTCTGCTGTGGTGCTGAGGTGAGATTGCTATGTTTCAGTACTTTTGAAGACTATACAATTTAACTCTATTTTTTAGTGGAATTTGTTAAAACTCAGTAGTTTAATTTAACCTCATATTCTTGATATCTTCAACTTCAGTCATTATACTCTAAAAGGCTCTACAAGTGAAACATTTAAGTAAACACATTGAAAAAATGAAACTATCATTCTGTAACTTTTTGAGGTAAAAATAATTTGCATACAACTGTTTGAAACTATCTGAAAAATGCAGATAACTTTAAAATTATAATTCTAAAATACAAAAATAGATTGTCAGGGATGGTCAGTTTTTGCAGAGATTCTGTAAGCTATATCTGAACGTTATTTGTGTTTCTCTTTTCTGTTCTTAGAACAAAGCCAGTGATAATTGTTGAAGCTTCTTTAAGACATTCTAATTCAATAAATCGAACTAATTTAGACTGCATGGAAAATGAGCAGCCTGCCACCTGTATGAATTTGAAGATCTGCTTTGCCTATAGAGGACGAGAGGTGCCTGGTTATATTGGTAAGCTACTGGAAAAATAATCCACTATATGTATTAATTTTAAATGCACCTATTTACAAATAATGCTACTGGTAGTTAATAAACCATTAATCTGACTTCAGTATAAAATGAAAAGCTGAAAACTCTTCTATATCATGATTACCCTATAACATCAAGCCATTACACTTCAGTTTGGAATAAGAGCACATCCCTGCTAGAACTGCTGGAGTTACTTGGAGAGACAGCAGCATTAAAAGGGTGATATTTAGATGTTCTCTAACAGCAATCTTCTCAGGCATGGACCAAACCAGATGGGACTGCTGTAGGATGCTGCCTTCCCCTTGGCAATAGAGAGAAAACATTCCTTCCCAAACCAGCTCAAGCAGCTGATCATACCATTGTGGGGCATTTTGTGAAAGAGGAGGAGTCCCACCAAAATTACCAAAAAAATAAATCTTGTATTGTATTTTATATAATGCATATATTCCTTTTGGCAAAAACTGGTATTGCTGGAAGTGGTGTCTTTCAGAAGGAATATTCATGGTAAATTAATTTAATATAATTTACTGTCTAAATTTGACTGTATTGCCTGAGTGCTTTTAACCTACTTGTCAAGTGCTATTTGTTAACTGCAAACAGCCCTTCAAGTACATGATATATAATTAAATTGCTCAACTCTTCTGTGTGAGAACAGACAATAACCTTTGGGGGCATGTTACAGAGAACACATGCAGCGATGAACTGCAAAGTTATGTGTCTTTTGATCTTTATCAGATCTTTTGAAATTCATATTAATTTTGAAAGATGAGCAGTCAGACTGGGTCACCCTCGCTGGACTTGTACATAAGACTTTTTAATTAAACAAAAGTACTAGTAGGAATTGTAGGTAACCTAACCCTTGGCAAAAAATTAGAAGTACTAGATCTGTAATGCTCTGAAACTTGCTTGCAACTTGTTATCATAGCAATTCATGCTAACTTAAATAGAAAAAACTGTGAAGTTAAACAATATTTGTCAGTGTTAGTTGACTTAAGTCTTCGTTGTTAGTTACTGTCAGCCCTGTAACTAACCAAAGCGGGTTTTCTATAAATAGATTTTGGTAGAGAATATAAATACAACCTGATAAACTATATCTGCATGTATTAGGGAACAGCCATGAAGCAATTTTCGGGTACTAGAAGTTTTTCTTAGCATGGATTTATGTCAGTGTTTTTAAGCAGAGCATTTTTAAATGCATGTCACAGAATATACTTATGGAAGTGAGTCAGAAATTGTAATTTCTACCATAAGCTTATTAAGATTGCAACACTTAAAGATTTATAACCGTTATTTTCCCTGGGTTTTATTTTGTAGTGTTGCTTTATAATCTGAGTGTTGATGTGAACAGAAAAGAGGATACACAAGCAAGATTTTATTTTTCCTCCAATGGAACATATGATACAATCTCAGGAAAAGTAAAGATTTACAGCAATATTACTGCCTGCAAAGATCATCCAGCATTTATGAGGGTAATGTAGTTTTCAGTATGTATTGTCTTGTAAATCCTTTGTTCTCCTTTGAAAAGCAGACCTGCTGCAAAAGAACCTAATCTGTTTACAATTGTATCACATCATTTTGGAAGTAAAATGTTTGTATTCAGAACTTCCACAGTTAATATATTTTAATTCTGGTGCTTTCTCTGAGGAAGTCAGTAGGTCTGCCATCTCTTACATTAGTGAGAAGATGTATAATCATAATAATAACCACAGTGATTAAGTTGGACTGTGAGCATTCTTGAAATTTTTTCATCATTTTTATGCATGATAGATCATATATAGATTGAGGTTGGTTTGGATCAGCCATGAAGATAAAGCATTCATATTCTCCTGAACATTTCTGATGGAACTTCATGTACTCCTTAATGCAAAATCTTAAAACTTGTAATTTTTATCTTTTGTCATCTGTAACTGTTTCAAAGAACACGTGTATGGTCTTGTTCCTGTTTGTATTGTGAGTAGATAAGGCAGACTCAGCTAAAAAGCAAAGAACCCATTCCTGATCCATAGGAAGGGGAGGATTGCTGGAAAAGTCTGTAGTTCAGGGTTTGTAGTGTGGTGTGCTTTGTGAATTTGCTGCAAGGAGCCAAAGGCTAGCAGGGTGTGAAGAAGAGCATTGCTTGGGCTTGATTTTTTGCCTTCAAGGAATGCAGCACTCGCCCATAACCTGAAGGTGGAAATGGGGTAGGAAGAGCACTGGGGCATGACCTATCCCCCTGAAAGAGGAATAAGTGACTTGTCTTGAAAGTGGAATAAAACCTGTAATCAGGATACAGATAAAATATTTTAAAGGCCATTCAATTAACAAGGAAAAGTTAATCACTTTTATTCTATCTTAGAAGCTTGTCCTCCAAAACAAAAATTTTGGAAAAACTTAGAGGAAGTCCTAAACCACAACAAATAAAAATCAGTGGACACAAAGGAACCACATTTTATTAAACTCACAAAAAATAGATTTCTCTATTGTGAGACCTTATGTAGGAGGGAAGAGAGGGAGTATTTAGATATACAGGGAAATAAGGGAAATAAAATAATGGACTACTTTGCCTAACATTTTCTTTGAAATCCTCAAGGTAGCAATTCTGTGACCTTTTGAAACAAACATCTATCAAGGTGACTGATGCAGTTGATCCTGCACAAAGGGTGGAAAATAAATTTTATTTTCTACAGCTACAAAAAACCTGCAGGGAAATATTCTTCAATGTATTTTTCTTCTTCCTTGATTTCCCTTACTTTTTGTTTGTGGCATGGTTAGAAGCCAATTATTCATCATAAAGCTTCAGGGTAGAAAGGAAAGCTTATGTTACCTACTGGAAAATTTCCCAGATGCATCTCAACTGATAGTTGCACCTCAGTGAATGTTGCCTGCAGGAACAATGGCAAATTGCCACTCACTTTATAAGAGTTTTGTAAACTAAGGGAGATGTGATTGACAGCTGACCTTGTACAGATTGCTGTACCAGCATCAGCAGGTATTTGTGTAGGAGGAAGGAATTGATTTGCCTCATCACTTCCTATAGTCCATCATTAGGCATTTTTTTCCCTCCATAGAATTCAATTTTCTTTTCAATTCTTAATTAATAGCATTATAAGTATCTCCTTCCACCCACTGAGGTTTCTGTACTTGCATGAAGCTCCTAAAGTTAAGTAAGTGTGAATGTCTGTCAAGTACAGTCTTCACAAGAGACAATATAAATTTTATGTATTTTGAGTAAAGGCTAATTAATAGCTAATTAGTATAATGGAAGTAATATAAAGCAGATGCAGAGAAGACCTTGTGGAAAATTATTACAAATTAGATAATATGTGATTTGGCCAACACAAGCTTGCAGATAAGAATTAAAATAGCGGCCATGTGGAAGGACAATCAGTGTCTGTCTAGCCCCTACACTTAGGGAATAATTTAATCAGGTTTGTTACTGTTGGTGCTTCAAGCTGTTCAGTTTTCACAAGTAGGTAGTTGGGACTCTGATCTGAACATTCCTATGCAGGCAAGGCTTGATGTACAAAATAATCATTTACTGAAGAGTTCAATCTTTTTCATACAGAATGGGAAATAACAGGCAGAAAAATAAAATGCAGTCACGACTTGATTTAGTTGTACTGTGGGAGAACTGTTTTTGATTTCACATGTAAATACCCATGGGGTTTGTCCGGCCTCATTCCACTGGTTAACTTTCTTCATTTTAGCCAACTTTGCCTGTTTTTCTACCTGGGCAGTGCAGCCTTTCATAGGTGTGTGAGGCAGGATTATTGACAGAAGTAGGCTCACTTTTTAGTAAGGTATCTCCTCATAGAAGAATCATCCATTCTGAAATGGCTGATGCTGTCTTGAACATATGCCTTTATGCATTTCTGATTGTCTCCTTCAGCAGCAAAGATGTCTGGGAAAGTGTATTAGGCATATGGAATTACTTTACATGTGAAAAATAGGTTTTGCTGTTTTAGCGAGTTCTGGGCAACCTTGTAACTTTAAAACATAAGCATACTTGTTTTGTCTTATATGATTAACTCATTAGGTTTCCAATTTTCATAGAAAGATGTAAGGGATATCTTGACTCCTGTACATGTTGAAGCGAGTTATCGTCTGGGGCATCATATTCTACAGAAAAGAAATGTTCAAGAATTTTCACCACTTCAGCCTGTTCTTCAGCGCAGGAAAGAAAAGGATGTTATAAAAAGCAAGGTTAGTGTATGAGTTCTCTTTTTTCCAGTGCAGTGAGTAAATAAATCTCCAGTTAAAAAAAGCTTCACTGATTCATAGCATGCGAAAGAATGCCTTTTCCAGACCTACACCTAGGGATTGTGTCTTGATATTAATTATTAAACCAGAATGCTAAAAAAAGCCTCATTTTTTGTTAAAAAAAGTCTTTGCAGAACTTTTAAATCTATGTTATGATTTAAAAATAAAGTAGGTATGTGCAGAGAACTTGATAGCATAAATAGTACTGTATATCTCAGAACCCATATATGAAATTTACTCTTTGAAATATCCATTCAACTACACAGTATGAGTCACTTTCCAGTATAAAATTGTACTCTAAAATTATTTCTGTGTTAAATACACAATATCATGTTGGTATTAATCTTGAAGTGTTGATGTTGCTGAAATATTAGTTCTTTAAAGATACTGCAGGTTTTCAAATACAGAGTTCGTGAGGGGAAAGGAAGAGTATATTCTTTGTAGTTTAATAATTATGAAATTAACCTTTTTTCCCAAAAAAAATCCCAACTCATTAAGAGACTTTGACTTTAGTGAAAGTCAGAATGTGCTGAATTTTTAACTTTTCACAATGGTAAGCTCCCCAGAAAGGTGGTCAGAGCACCAAGCCTGAGTTGCAGAAGTGTTTGGACAATGCTGTCAGGCACAGGCTGTGACTCTTGGGGATGTCCTGTGCAGGGCCAGGAGCTGGACTCAATGATCCTGATGGGTCCCTTCCAACTCACCTTTCTCTGTCATTTGTGTAACTGAGATACAGTTGGCCATCAGAATGCCCAAGATATGTAAGAGCTTCTTTTAAATGGCATGCTTTGACTTCTCATGTTCATTCAAAGTTTTGTTTTAGAAACCTCAAAGTTCTAGAGAAGGAAAGAGGGTGATGTTGAATACAGTGACAGAAATGTGCTCTATAACCTACTGATAACCAAGGCACGGACACCTGCAACTCGTGGTGTCTCTGCTCTCATCAAACCTTTCTAACAGTAGGATAGGTTAAGGATTGTGTAATTAAACTCTTGCAAAAATTAATGTGCTGTATTACAGGAGAGACTGCACAGACATCAGTTCTGGATCTTCTAAAACATTCTGCCCTCCTTGTGTACTGCTGTAAAAATTGTCTGAACATACACCCACAGGTTTCACTGTGACAGACTGAGTCTGGAAAGCCTCTTCACTCTTACTCTGGATGCACAGAATGTGTTTGGAAAATGGAAAATCATAGCCTGATTCAATTGTATGTTAGCAGTAAGAGCTATTAGACACTTCCTGGTGCTCAGTTACTAGGTGATGGGTTTCTTTCTCAGGAAATACTGTTTCTCACTATTGGAACCATATGACACTGAAGTTCCTTTTTTTTTTTTTTTTTTTTTTTTTAAATTTGGCTTTTACAGTTTATTTTTGCAAGATTTTGCTCCCAAGAAAATTGTTCAGCTGACTTGAGAGTTTCTGGAAAAGTTGTTTTTCCAAAGTAAGTATAATGTAGCTTTCATTTTTTTTGGACAAGATTTAGTAAGATTTTATTTAAATTATTCCTTTATCTTTTGTATATACATAACAGTAATTTGCAAATTCTCAGGACTCCCTGAAAAAAAAACTAGAAGTAAAGCTTCTTAATTGAAGACTATTTCTAAAAATCATAAATCTTCCAGGAAATGTAACAGAAATCTATATGACTGAAGAACTCTTATTGCACAATTAGAAGGTTTTACAACTCATAAAATACATCTTAAAAAAATTGTGTTCTACACTTTATATATTACTGGGCTAAGATAACACTGCACAATGCACACTCAATATGCAGACATCATAACTAAAATTGTAAAAGTGACAAGGTGTTGATTATTTCTGCTGCTCTGTCTGGATATAGTGTATTTGTACTGTATGAAGTCTCAATCATCTGTATAAAACTGAAGATATAATATTCTTATATAAAAGAGACAATTGTTTTAAGTTGCATTTTATCATCACAACCTTTACTGACTATTATATTTCAAAGTAAGAAATACGGGTGAGCAAAAAGAGGAATTGTACCTGTTGTGAATCTCAACTATTTAGCTATTTTACATGTAACTTGGATTTTCTTGTGTCATTCATCACTTTTAAAGTTAATTCTACTTAAATCCAAATACTAGTTTGAACAGCCTAAAATGGCATCAAAAGATGCTGACAGTCACCTAATGCAGATAAATCCCACCTGTGTGATCCTGAGCACAAACTTTGTCATCTTCATGGATTTCAGAGTAAGATGAGTATCCTTCTGCCCACTTTAACATGTGGCCTGTAGCAGGACTCTTAAGCCCTTTCATTTTCTTAGGCTGGATGGTCATTTTACTTAAACACTCATAAACTTCTCAGAAAGAATGGTTGTGCAGCATTTTCATTCCTGACATTAGAAATGCAGTTTTGTAAGCACTTCCAAGCTCTAAGAAAGAAGAACGGATTACAACATATCTGCTTGACATTAGGCACCAGTAGCAGATTTGCAGTGTAAATAAATAGTCTAAATATCTTGATAAAGTGTGAAGTATCACCTTAAATTACCTTGTGCCCCTAGAATCTCAATTAAAAACTAGTTAGCTGTGAAGCGATAATTTATTTTGTCTTGACAGAATGCATTCATTATCCTTGAGGAGCAAAGCAAAACACCTTTGGCTTTGAAAGAATGAAATCAAATAGGGATGGCAATGTAATGCTTTATTTACTGAGTAACAAGTCTTCATGTATACACTATCATGTTTTGTTTAAATTGCTTAGATTTTGGCCTGCTCTGTAAGTTTCTAGTCTGCATCATGCATTTTTTAATGAAGAATGAAATATGATTACCAGGGAAAAGCTCTAGTTCAGCTTTGTTGTAGTCCCAGATGTGCACCTGGTGCTTTTGTGTACTTGTGTGTTAAGCTGGGAGGCATCTTTGTGACAGCATATTGTTAATGAGCTTGGCTTTAACGTGGGTAAGAGGAGTCAGTGGTGTGTATATAAGTGCTAAAACAACGTTCCAATTTAACCTAAACTTGACAAGCTACCAAAATGTTAACATTGTGTTTTTCTTTAATTTGCTTTTGTCTTGGAACCTATCTGCTTATGCAGTGCTTTTGCCTTCTGTTGCTTTTATAAGTGCCAGCTTCTTTCCCAAAGGTGTTCAGTGACTAATGCTTTGGTTTTGAGCCAGAATATCTGATAAATGTCTATTTCTAGGCACCCTTTCTACAAGTCTTAATTAAACTTTAATGTCAAGCTGAAGTTTACTTTTAGCCCCCGATAGGGTGTCTGTACTTGTAACATGATTACAGAACATTGCATAGATCAGAAGAGAGGCATGTTCACTGTGCCCCTCTTCATAGTAACTGAGTCCCACATCTTGAGTGCAAAGAGTGACTGCTGAAATCATGTCTGAAAGCGCTGTAGCAGTGGCACATTGCTGTTCTGCCTGTGAAGGAAAGGACTGCTCTTGTAAAGGCCAGGAGCACGACTGGACTGATGACAATTTCCTTTCTCCCTCATTAACCGCTTCAGGCTTTAAGGGGTGACCATCACATAAACTGGGCTAGTGCCTTTGTTACAGAATTGAGTAAAACCTTCCCTTACATCTCCAGCTGGGCTTTGTCAGAACCAGCTGAAACTACCTAAAAGAGTAGATTTGCCTACAGGCTGTTTCTAAAATTACTTTCCATTTACATTATAATTATTTTTACAGGCCTTATGATAAGAAAACGTACCTTGGTGTTGGAAGTGTGAAGACTTTATTGTTGAACATTTCTCTGCTTAATGTTGGAGATGATGCATATGAAACTATCCTCCATGTTCAGATCCCTAAAGGTCTTTATTACAATCGAGTTTTAGAATTGGTAAGGAAAAAAAATATCTCAAACAGTAATCCTTTGATATTTTTCTTTTTCAGCCTGGTGTTTTTCAAATTATGTTTATGAATTGTTGATTTTCTTTAGGTACTGAACCTATGCCCCTTCATCAAAAGCTGCCAAAACATCAATTTTTAAATTCTTAGACTTGTAGCCACCTAAATCAAGTGGAATTTGATCAATACAGATGATTTACATAATTTCAGTAACAACTAAAATAAATAATAAAAAAAAAAGTTTTAAAATATTTTCAGGATGTTATGGCTGTTTTTTGGCTGATGATGATGTTTTCATGTTTTCAGTGATCACAAAGATCTCATTGAATCTTTTTCCCAAATACACAGGCTTATAAAAGGTCATAAATCTAATTGTGCTCTCTTTCTGCCTTTTAAAAATAACTGTTCTCCATGCAGAGTCCCCCAGATCCACCTTTGTGAGCTGGCTTTTAATGTGGGTGGGTCTGGTGCATGTGCCTTAGCTTCAGTAAAAGCAAGAAGCAGATGAAGTAACTGGTACAATAATCAATATAATCTGTTATGTTAAAGGGGTCCTGGGTGTCCTGGATATTGGCATCAGTGAAATAACACCTGGTTCAGGAAAATATAAAGCACCCAATGTTAATGTGTGCATGTAATTTGAAGTGTCTGAAAACAACCACCTTTTTATTATAATCATTAGTAACTTGTCCTTTATTTTAGGAAGAAAAACAGATACATTGTGCAGTAGTAGATAAAGAAATTAATGCAGTGACACTTGGGTGCAGTGTTGGCTATTTATATGTGGATCACAACTCAAAGGTAAGCTGTAAATGGAGTTCCTAGCTTTAGGAACACCCTAAATATTGAGGGTTATGAGGATTTTCATGGGGGAAAAAAATCTCTGAATCTTCAATCCCAACTAACATCTTTTATCATGTTAGTATCTGTATCTCTCCTGCTACTTCTAAATAAATTGCTTAAACACTTCCTGGAATAATTCATTAAGTGTTTGTATTGTGCATTGACTGATTGTGCTTGGCTTCTGGACAAGTGGGCTGACCAATGCCGTGGACATATGTGTTAGGTCAATAGAAAGGGACTAGGAGACACAAAAAGCAAGTATTTCCTTAATTATGAATTTTTTAGGCAGGGAATTCTAAATAAGCTTAATAAAAATATTTGCATTGAAACTGTGTCAAGGTACACTATCATTTAATATAAGGAAAATTTTATTTGTTCTACAGCTGGATTATAGTTTCTTCTTGGATGCAAGCTCATTAACCAGAGCAGAAGAGGACCTCAACATCATCATTAATGCTACCTGGTAAAGGCTAATAAAAATTGCTCAATGGAAAATACTACTAGCTTTGGAAAACAGATAACTGGAAAGGCTTAGAAAAGCAGGATTGCAGGGAAGTAAATTGGCTGCAAATCAAATAGAGAAAGAGAAATGACCAAAAATAAAATAGGTGATAGATATTTAAATAATAAGTAGGTTTCTGCCTGTAAAAAATGTGGAGGGCATTAATGCTTGACATGTTATCAATTAAATATTTTTATTTTAATAAGCTGAGAGGTCTGCTTAATATTTTTTACAGAAACAGTGTATAGCTTATGATGGTGCCCTCAATACAGATTTTTTTCTCTGCATTTTTGTAGTAAAAATGAAGATGAGAACATGCTGCTGGATAACACGCTGACTTTACCTATACCTCTAAGATATGAGATTGAATTAAATACTCATGGGTGAGTCACCTGTTGGTATTACCTGCACATCCACAGAACTGTTGTCTTGTTACTGTTCTGAATTCACTAAGTTTTTAGGCAGAAGTGTGACATAGCTAAAAAATCCTGGGACTGAGTTAGCACAGTTGTCCTGGACTCTGACTTAGACACTTGTAAGAGGTTTTTTTCCACTACTGTGAGATGAGTCCTTTGGTATCTGTGGTGCTTCAGACTTGTCTCTGAACAGACTAACATGTTTTAAAAAGTGGACTGTCTTTTCCAGAAAGATGTGTTTAATGAGAATATAGCAGATCCTCAGATTCCTTGCTTAACATGAACCATGATCTGGGTTTGTTGTGGGGCATTCATGGAGCATAGCTTTGGTGAGGATTTATGACTTCTTATGATTCATCTGCCTTTTTCAGAGGAAAGAGTTCAAATGTAGAGGGTTTCTGTTCCAAAGGGAGATGATTTCTACTCTGTGTTCCTAGATTTACTTAAAAGCAAACTTGGGTGTTTTCTTCCAACCAGTCTTACTGGAGGTAGCATGAAGCAGAAATTTATGCTAATAATACGTAGGAATTCTGTTTATTAACAATTTCTAAACCATTGTAGGTTTGTGTCACCGACCTCATTTGTTTATGGAGCAGAAGAGAAAGATTCAGCAGTGACATGTATGAAGGAAAATATCAACTTCACTTTCCATGTAAGAGTTTTCCTTTGTAAACCCTGTCATCCTTGTTTTGAAGGTTAATGTTTAATGCATCTCATGATAGTCTAGACAGTTAGTAAGGAAGCTTTTAAGAGTACAAGGGCACTATGAGTAATTTTTGTGCATTAGTGACGAGGAGTTGCTGTTAATCCCTCTTAGAAAACTCTTTTTGGCCTGGCAAATCTTCCACTGAGTGATCAGAGAAAAATTTCCTAACACAAGCAGGATTGAAAATGGTAAAGCAGTTCTGAGTTGCCACTTCTTCCTTTCAGAAACACTTCAAAAGGAATTATGGTAAGAAAAAGGAGTTAGGAGTTTCTTGTCAGAGTACCTATAGCATCAAATTTGTCTGCAGTGGATTAAAAGCAGGAGTTTGGATATAATCTCTCCTAGTTCCTTTTGCATACCGGCCTGGCAGGCAGTCTGCATGACCTCAGGTACTCATCACAGATTAGCACTACTTACTCATCAGCTTTGGAGGAGGGAAGGGCTCAGTAAGCCCACAGGATGAATGAACAAGATGTTAACACTCCTAGCACAATCACTGTCTGACAGCATACAGAGCAGCTGCTACCCCATTCTGTGCAGTTTTATGTATTTATCCGTGTGCAGTTTTGTTCCCTGAATAGTTGCCCTTGAAGTTTTAACTCTTGAACTCTTCACCTCTTCCCCACAAGGTTATCAGTGCAGGACCAAGCATGTCTCCAAATACCAGCCTGGAAATAATGATACCGAATGCTTTTCCACCCAGGGACTCCAAATTATTCAACCTATTGGATATCAAGGTAAGCAAAGGCTACTTAACGTATTAGTAGCTGAATTCTGTGAAAAAGAGAAGCAGAACAAAATCAGCTAGGTCCTCAGTCTGTGTTTGATTTGCTAGCCATGGTGAAGCAGAGTGAACTAGAACAGGATCATCTTCAGCCCCACGTGTTTTATTCTGAAAATAAAATTTACATTTTTTATAATGATGGTATATTTATTTTTAGACAACGGCTGGACACTGCTCCTATAAAAAATATCCCATGAACTGTACTGCAGCAGAAAAAAATGGAAACATATTAAAGGATGTCATCACTTTCTTTTCAAAGCCTACTAAGAGGCACATGGTAAGGTCTGTCTTTTGGCATCAGTGGGAAATGACTGTATGAATAAGCCTTAAGAAAAGAGTGTATCTTACATAATGAAGTCACAGAGCCATCCTCCAAGGATGTGTGGTGGGACCTGTGATAAGTTCAGGATAGTCATAAGTGACTTTAGTGAAAGGGGTGAGAACTGAGCTGAGAAAGTTGATTAATGACACATTGCTGAAGTCAGGGTGGATGACAGACACCTACGAAAAACTGCCAGAGGGATGTGGAACTGAATGAGTGGGCAAGCAGAATGGCAGAGGAAATTCAGTAACAAACAGAAAACGATGCATCAGGGAAAAACAGGCTTTATTTTAATTACATGAAGTATGCAGATCAAATATTCTTTGTCTTTTCCTCATCAAAACAGTGCCATCAAACATAACTAACAGGAGCTAGGTAAAAAAACCCCAAATGTTAAAAATAACTGAATTCCAAGGAAGACTATACAAGTTAATGGAAATCAAGAATTACAAAATATGTGAAAATCATATTTGGCTGGGAAGCTATTAAAAATATTTGTGAGGCTGGGAGAGTGCCATACATGTGTGGCCTGTTCCAGCTCATCCCTCTGTTCCTGCTCACAGACCCTGCTGGAGATCAGACACTCCACTACACAGTCCAAACCACAACTGCTATTTTAGCATTGCATTGCTGAGGCTTTGTCCTCATAGAAATCTGTTTCCTGCACTTTGATAAAGTACAACATTATTTAATCTGTCATCTTAAAAAATAACAAAAGCAAACAAAAAACCTACCTATTTTTAAAAACTGTTAATCTGGGGCTTTTAAATAAGCACATTACAGGAAATATCATCCAATGATTGAGTTACAGCCACAGATACTATTGGACACTAGAATATCCATTCAGTATTCAGCATGGTAACCTTGGATAAAGAATAATGTTAAAGATATAATAAACATAATCATATACAGCCTTGTGGTTTTGTCTTCTCCAAAACTGTGTGAAGTGGTGCTAGTTGTCAGTGTACAAATGTAGAGATCAACCAATTACACAGTTTGCACTGGATAGCAAAGAGTTATTGTCATTCATTGTTATTGATAAAAGCTAATTTGAAATAACAGTGTAAACATAAACCCTAAATATATAAACAAATTATGACACTTGTTCTTTTTCAGGCTTACAATAACTGGATTTTTAATAAAAATGACATGTTTTGTATAACAATTAGGTTGGTCTCTTGTTACTGTACCTTTAGCACCTCTGGAATGACAGTGATGCATGACAACCTCAAGTTATACCCTGAGTTTTCAAGAATAAACATGATTCCTTTTTAGTCGGTTCCTATTGTCTTAATTGCTAAGATTATATAGTTGATAAAGTTAAGTTTTAATCTTTCCCTCCCTTGTACAGTACTGCATGAAAAATGACAGCCTTTGCTTACAAATACATTGCAAGCTGGGAAACATGGAAAGTGGAAAAGAAGCAACTGTTCACTTGCATCTGGAGGCTACTCCTTTACTTTTACAAATGGTAACACATGAATTTTTCATACTTGAGGGGAATATTTCAAGGCATATTTGCAGTATTCCCTGCATATAAATTCAAGGTATTAGTATTTGTTTTCTGACAGTGAAACATGATTCAAACACAATTAAATCTAAATCTTCTAGGTTTTAACCTATTTTATGTTGCCAATGCTAAGGCTCAAGGTGATGTATTAAAAACAAAAGTATGTATTTTAGTTTGTCACTTTATAGTATGTATTGCTTTGCCTATTCTGGCTGGGTTATGTATGATGGGGATTTAATTTCAACTCGTAGTTGTATTTTTCTATGAAAAGTAGCATGGATGTGGACTGAAGTAAAATCCAACCTGGCTTCATTCCAGCTTCTGGTACTAATTTGTTTTGTGCTCAGAAAAAGGCACCATTGTGTGTTTGTGTGAGATTCTGGTTATGTCAGCAGCTGTGTTATCACGTTTTGCTGGGCAGGAATCAGTGTGTTAAAGCCATTTTTTAAAAGAAAGATTTTTTTTTTTTAATCAGGATGATGCATCAGTATTGAAGTTTGAAGTAAGAGCAACGGCCTGGCCAGAAAAAAGTGCAAAAGTTATTGAACTACATAAGGACAAGCAAGTTGCATATGTAAGAATTCTCTTATGAATTTGTGATGAACACATTAAAGTGGAAAAACAGCAATTAATATTGCACAATTCTGTACATACCTATACACCAGCAATGAATATAGTGTTAATTACTTTTGAAATTAATTAATTTTCCTAGGTTTTTTTAGTATCTATTAGGGAAAAAACTCCCAACAGTTAGCACTAAGCTTATTTTCTGTTTTTCAGGTCTATTTGGAAGGAATGCACCACCAAAAGCCAAAATCCCGTGTTACTGTGCTAATTATTTCCCTCGGCTTAATAGTTGGTGTTACCTTGTTATTGGTTCTTTCCTTTATATTATGGAAGGTAGGTTTTTAGTATTCCTTAGCTGCTTCAAGTCAGGAATTTATACTGTTGAAGGGCTTTTGAATCTGGGTTAAAGAATAAATAACATTTTATTATGATCTGTCCTTTCTAAAGAAAGATAATTCCTCCTGTAACTTGGGGGTCTTCAAAAGTATTTCTGCATTTTCTCATTTCACTTCATCTTCTGCCTGTTCTACATTTTCTGTTGCTCAACACCACAAGTCCCTTTGCAATGTTTTCTATGGCATCTCATGTTTGCAAATGATTTATGTATTTTAATGATATCAAATGGATCATTTTTGTGTAATGGTTCTCCACATTTAATATCACTTGACACATGATGACTGATAGTTTAAAACACGGTTTCATTCCAGTATAAAATGTTTAATATTTCAAACTGCAACATAAATAGTAATAAAATTCTGTGTCTAAGTAAAAGAGAAAACTAATAAGGATGCAGACCCTCTGACAAGTGATTAAGAGATTGTTAACTTCTTTACCGACATGGAGACTTTCTCCATCCATCATTTTTACATGGACATGTAGGAATGAAACAAATTTAACTGGAACATTTTATTACCATATTTTTAAAAATACTGGATTCTGTGGACTGTTAAAGTTCACAAGCCCAAGTCTTTACTCCATACAGGAGAGCATTAGCCTCCCAAAAATTAAAAAAAGAAAAAGCAAACCTACTTTTTTAACTGATGAGTAAAACTTGAGTACGTGGTATGACAAAGCCCTGGCAAATACCATACCTCATACATGCCACACATAGGCATTTTTATTTTAATTAATCTTTTATGGTTTAGATTTGATGACAAAGATTTGCTGACAACAGATTCCAAATTATGTATTTCAGATTGGCTTCTTCAAAAGGAAATACAAACCGGTCCCTCAAGACACGAACAGAAGAGACAGCTGGAGTTTTAAAAGTGGGAACAAAAATGACTAAGATGGCAAATAAACATTTGATTTTGAAATGAAGAAATTAAAATTCAGATTAACTCACAGGAGAAACATCAGCAAAAAGAATCCTAAGCTGTGAGCTTACTTGTTCTTACAAAACATGTTTTATTTCCTTGAACTGTATGGAGGATACACTTTACAGTACTGTTCTAATATGAAAATGGTAAACCAGTTTGTTCTGAAGTCTGCCAGTAATATTTGAAATGCCATATATATATATATATATATATATATATCTGGTTTCAAACAGACAGAAGAACACTAAAGATAAAGAGAAGACAAATTACTTACCAAAAGGAAGTATTTGTAGAAAGCAATAATTTTGGCCAATCCTGGAAAGTAAGATCTCAGACACATTACCATGAGTTATTCTATTATTTTTAAAGTTTCAGTAATATTTTGATCAGGCATTCAAGAAGAAATGCTCTCTCATTTTTGTCTGGCATTTTACCAAGGATAAATTAGCTCATACCCCTAGGACTGTAAGCAGGACACACGGACACAGAAAACAGCTCTCAGAAGCTCTGGGCTTCTGCAGGGAACCTCGTAAGCTTTGGCTTCACAGGCACAGCCACATCACTGAAGGTACTTAGACACCCAAGAAAGCCAGAACCAGGAAGGCCAAAGGTGAATTCAGAGCAGGGAATTGTGTGGGGTAGCCTGGAGATGCAGCTGTAGGAAGATTAAAGTATTGGAGATTATAATTTGTAGTCATCTATAACATGGTACTTGCAAGCATGATAGAATTACTTGTTTCATCCTTTCCTCAGATAGTGCTGCCATAAGGTTTTGGACTTTTCCAATGAATTATTTCTATGTGGGGTTTTTTTAAAGCAAGTATTTATTTTTATTTATTTGAAGATTTTTCTATAGTACATATTGTAGGATTTATGTGCTGGCATTCTTCCAGAACCTGAAAAAAAAAGACAGGCTTAAGCTGACAAAACAGAGAGACACATATACCAAAAACACTCCAACTGCCAACCATAATGGGCCAAATTTTATCTTTAGATTAAGTGCTTTAGAAAGTACTTACTTGGAGAGCCAGCTTGGGTTCTTGGAAGGTGTCAGATAAATACCATCCAAACAGGCACCCTCAGCAGCCACTCGGCAGAAAGGCAAAGGACTGACCAGAAACATGGATCAAACCACTGCTCTGCTACTCCAGGAAGTTTCTTCAGCTAGCTAAGTTTGCACTGCCACCTAGCTTTGGTGAAACGGCACAAGGCACAAGGGAAACAAACCTTCCTTTGCTTCCCCAGAGCAGCTGGAGAACATTCAGCTTCGTCAGTAACAAGATTTATTGCAGCAGAAGGACAGAGCTCGGCCATGAGGCCGGGCCTTGGGTGTCTTTCTGAACTGCACCAAGAACGGAATGTCACCTGCACAAATGCTTCAGAGCTGCACCATCCATCCTATGGGAACTAGCCTGAAACTCAGACCCACAGCAAGTGCCTTCAGCAAGCACTTCTGCTACTAGAGTGCTTGGTGCCATAAAAGCCATGTTACCCACAGATTCCAAAGGTATTTGGGACCATTTTGTATCTTCCTTTCACTTCATTTGATGCCAAAGATGTGGATCACTCCAAAGTATGTTTTCCTCTAATATCTACAGTGCAAGGACAAATGAATGTGCATATATTTTTTTAAAAACTCAAAATAAAGTATGTCAAGAATTAAATACTTTCTTGCAAATATGTGTGAAAACTGTACCAAAAAAAATGCTTACCTTCCGAATGGCTTTAGTGAATTTTTGCACTTTAACCAGAAAAACCTTTCAATAGAAATTAGCTTGAAATTACAGCATACTGTGAAAAATATACCTCAAATACTGGAAGAAGCATTCATGTTCTTTTGAATACAAACAATGCAAGGAAGTGAAACAAAAGCATTTTATTTATCTTTTAAACAGTTTACATAAGTCAGTACATGTGATAATGATGCCTTGGAAATTGTACACTTTCTATTCAGATTTGATTGTTAACATGTATATATGTTGGCTGCCTTTTCTTAGGATATGAAACAAAGTTATGAAGCTTTTATAAACCAGGTTGACAAAAAATGAATGTACAATGTCCTGATGGTGGCAAGATTATAAAGTATTACTAAACTGCATTTTATTTAAAAAAGCCCCAAACTAGTTAAACAGATGAATGCCGTTCGTTCTGCAAATTCGATTCTTTTGTTAAATTTCATTTAATAAATAAGTTAAATCTACTAAATGTTGCTGGAATGCCTTTTTAAACAAATGAAAGAAGTTTAGTTTGAATTGCCTTAGCATGTTAAAAATACTTGATGGGACAGAGTATGAATTTTAAGTGGAGACTGCTGCCTGTGACTTGGACAACAGGCAACAGCTTGGGTTTAGGAGCCAAATCCTCATCTGCAGTACTTTAGGTGCAGTGCTCAGTCCTGTGTATTTATCACAGATAAGAATTCTTACAACTATTTTAAATCATAGTAGCCTATAGATCTCTTGTAAAGACTTAAGCCCTTGATGTAGCAACATCATACAAAGACTGGATTTCACATTTCACTCGACTGCTTCCTGAAGAAAGCACCTAAACCAACTCACTCTTGCCCTTACACAACGCAGCTTTCATTTGTGCACTGCCTTCTGAACCACTCCTGGAGCAGTGACTAGGAAAACATTTGTTATCCATGGTCCTGCAAATGGAAAAACGTGGTCTGCTACTTTTCATCTCAAAGGAAGCCAGTTCCCAGAAAAAAATATAGTCTTCATTTGCTGTCCTCTGAAATAATTGTCTTCAATACTAAGTAAAATACCAAAAAAAAACCACTCAAAAATTATGTTTATGCCCTACAAGGAAATTATAAGAATTTAAGTCAACTCTTAAGTTATTTATCACAACTCTAGTCTTAGCAACAACAAAAACTATGCTGAATAATGTTTAAATTCTAAGACAGAGACAATATTAATTTTATACAAAGAGCAGTTTTTAAAATACATTTTAACAAAGAAAAGCCATACAGGACATCGTATTCTTTTATATTATTTGACTAGAAACATTTTGAGAGAAAATGTATTAAGGCACCATTAAAAAATCATTAGTAGGAATAGAAGTACTTGATTAAAAAAATAAATGCATACATTTTTATTTTGACATTTTCATTTTTTTATTCTTCAGCTAGAGCTGGTGAGTAGAGGTATGGTTCTTCCCTATGCTGAACTGAGTTACCTGACAACATGGATAGCAGCAGCAGACTTAGAAGTATCTCAGTCTAAAAAAATCTAGACTAATGAAAAAAAAAAATTCTATTCTGATGGACACTTCTCAAGCCCCAAATTGATAAGAGACCAATACAAACAATTTTCACTTTTTAAAGCCTAACACCTTCAGTACAGTTAAATAGAGCCTGATAAAAATATATAATTTAATAACAATTTAAACCTAGAATTAGAGCAAACCCTAACCCTTACCCATTAAGCTTCTGCTACAACTGACATCAGGACAAGTCCAGACCTTGGAAAGCTGTGCATAGGGGTAAGAACAGGATTCTTTATTACAGAATTCCCAGTGTGTCCCTTCTATATGCAGTTGCACGTCACTTGGGAACTCTCCAGATCATCAGTGTTCACTCCATAGAGATCAATAAGTTGAGGATGCACCCTGTGAAGCAGGGAAGTCAAACTTTTATCAATCAAGTGTCATCAACTCTTGCAATGGGTGTGCTGCTTCTTGAGGTTGGTGAGGAGAATTAATATGTATGAGCTTTTATATGGAAATAAATCAGGGTGAATTACATTTTGACAATTCCTATAGGATCATCTTTAGAAGAATATATTATATATCCTACAACATGATCTGCCTTTTATTTTATATACCAGACTTACTCTGAGCTGTGTGCCTTCAACTAATCCTGTGTGCATTGCAGAAAAATGAGCTGCTGCCCACTTAATTCCACTGATAATCCTCCCATTTCCTATGTATTTGTAGTCTCATTCTTAGATGCTGGATATGGAGACTATTCTCAAGCAGCATTAAGTTTTCCACAATTGAAGAACTACATGTTTTTCTTAACCTTACACATGCTGCTTTCCAAATAGGAATCTTTGTCCCAGAAGGAGCTCCTCATGGAGACACATTATATACATCTGTTCTTCAAGGAATGGAAGGGTAAAGTAGCAGGAAAGAAGAAACAAGAAGTAGTAAAGCAACAAAAAATAAGAGAATGGAGTGGAAGCTGACAAAGCACCAGGATGGAAGGCCATGTGAGTTATAACAAACCTTTCCAAAGATGAACACAAGGCAGCCAAGGCAGAGGCCCAAACGATGGTGGAAGGGCCAGACCCTGCAGTGCAAGCAGTTCTGTGTGGGAGCATTTAGAACACCTGACTCTGGTACCATCTGTGCTTGCAGAGATGTGACACATCTGAGATTGCAGCACTACTCTGTTATGGGAATATGGTCCCTAAAAGGGATACTGAACCTTACCGGACATGAACTTCTGATGCTTCCTTCATTAAGTCTCCATCTATATTCCAAGGGTAGTTTCCTTCTGCATTCAGACACACATTTTCCTTGGCATCAGGTCCACTTTTAAGCCTTGGTTGTACTTTTACTTCTCGAACTGTGTAGGTCTCAACAAAGGGAAAATTGAACTAAACCAAACACAGACAGACCGCAAATGGAGATAAACGATGCAGGTGGTAGCTTAAAACAAAATGGGTTACTTGAAATCAAAAAGCTGGCACATTTTTTGTTCTAAGTAGGAACATTTAATTCAAGCTTTGACCACATGAGCCATTATATATTCCAGCTAGTGTTTATAGATTATTGTGTTGTTTATATCCTAAATAGTGCCTCAGGAAAAAAAATAGTGTTCCATTTGTATTCCTGTATTGGACTCAATCAACCTGCAGGTAAGGGGGTATATTTTGCACATACCAAATACTTTCAGAATATATGAAAGTCCAAGCAGATTATTTCCTGTGCTCTGTTCATTACCAGTCATCTTGTCCTAAACCAGGCTAGTTAGAATTCTAGTAAATTATTTGTAACTACAAAGGCAGAGAGAAAAGCAAGGCCTTCCTCCAAAAGCATAACTGGAAAGCTTAAGCTATTTCCTCAATTCAGCCATTAGTGCTGTCACCTGAATTTTCACCCATCTCTCCCCCAAACTCTCTGGCTGTAGATGAATTCAAACCCAAACCTTCCTGTTGCAGTGATTTCTCATAATCCCAGAACACTTGAACGAGTACCAGTGTGTTTGGGCCATGCAGTGGGCTTTAGACAGCAATAAGATCTGTGCTTGAATGCTTCATTTTTCTCTTCCATGACAGAACTATGACAATTTTGATATTATGTTCTGCAAACATAATTAGATGGGATGCTAAAAATCAATGCTCACAGCCCACTGCTACCAGCACATCATGCCATGACCTGCTGAAATTACCACCTTCACCAATTTCTGACACAGTTGTGTGATGCCCCCACAGTTTTGCACTCTTCATCTCTGCACTACACAAAATTCAGACACAGCATGCATTTCCTTATTGTGGTGGAAGGGCTTTACACCCATAAAACTATGGTACAACAGAAACACAATTTAAACCACAACAGATGGACTGAAATAGGCTAATCTGTATTAGTCTAGTGATTTAAAAAAAGAAAAAAAAATCAGATAAAAAGGGGCTAATGTATTCTGACAGGAAGATAAGTCTCCTTACTAGGATGCTAACATTAACTCTTGCAGCTTGTCTACTTTCACGATTAACTGTTCTTTTTATAATCACCAGAAAGAAATTAAGGGTACCTGATTTTTTGCACTGGTGTATCTCTTCAGATGCTTTATAAACTCTGTTCGAGAAGTATTTTGTACAACAATAAGAGCCATGCTTCCATTGTTCAACCTGAAAAGCAGACCAAAAAGATAATTATCTTTCATCATTAATTTGGAAGTATAGCAGGCCTTCAATAGCCTAGATTGGAAAGAAATTTTTTCAAAAGCCTACAAGAATAAATTAATAGGATAGTCTCAATGGTTTTTCAAATCTTTTCACTGACCCCGACCCTGTAGATCAATATAAATGTTGCACTGAAGTTATTCAGCATCAATATATTTATAACATACATTGTAATAATAACTTGTAGTCCTTTATCAATATCCATAATTTCTTGAATACAATACATATAATCTAAGAAAAGCTTGCTTTTCTACTTAACAGATGGCTTTTAAACATCAGGGATCACAAACTTCTCTTTTTACTTTTCTCTCCAGCAACAAATAACAGTTACCATAAGTGCTGTGAGGCAGAGCTGTACCCAGAAAACAGTGCCAAGGTGCATGGAAGCCCCCCAGCACAGACCCAGCGCAGATGGGTTCCCCCACCCCCTCCACCAACACCCACGCTGCCCTAACGAAGGTGACATCTCCAACTCACACTCTCATAGCAGTTCTTAGTACAGTTCTATTTATACATTTCACAAAACAAAATAAAAGTTAAGGACTGAGAGTTTTGTATGAGATAAAACAGCCATGTACTAGAGATTAAACAAGAGCCCCCATAGTGCAGATGCTCAGTGGCTCTCAGTATCCAGTCACCACAGGTGTTTTAGCATCTTTGAGAACTGGGGTCAGACTGTGAGCCAGTGCCAGTTCTCCCATTCCTTAATGGACTGGGCACAGAAACTAACAACTGGAATATCCATGCAACCATGCCTGAGTCCCATTTGAGTTATAGAGACAGATCAGTGTTCAACAAGAGTACCTGATGAACAATGGCAATCCCTGCTGAGACTGCCTTCTGGACAGAGATGTTGTATTTCCTATCTTTTGCACATATATTTATTCATTTATTCAGCATCTATGTTAGGAAAATATCTTAAGAGTGTTTAAAAAATTACTTCCAGCCTACCAGCACTGAAAGGGATAGTTCAGATAGCTGCTCAACAGCTGCATCAGGAATGTTCTCAGACCGTGGTAACAGCACTATCTGGGAGGGTATTTGTTACATAAACATGAAGCAAGTCACCTGGCACAGCAGTACTTTGCTGATTCAGGAAAGAGTGATGATGACATTTAAAAAGTTGCCTCCTTATATTTGTTTCAATAAAAGGGCACAGCAGACTACTGGGCATTCAGCACTAGGGCCTTTCATCTTTAGAAATGACTAAGAATTCTCATTAATTCTCTAAAAAGCCCCATCTGCAGTGAAGCACAACACCTATGCTGTGAAAAAGACATCCCCCAGGGCTCACATAGCACAGACAGTTAAAGGTATCTGGACACATTTCTGCAAATTTAGACCAGTGTAAGTGGTGTTACAGGCAGCAGCCAAAGCTTGCACCCCACTTCAAATGGCTTCACAGGGCAGAACCTCTTGGGGAAAAAAAAAAAGTGAGAGAAGAAACCTGCGTGAGTTCCTTCCATAGTGGGCCTGGAGTCTAACAATCAGTGCCACATTTTTGTTTCCCATACTGAAAAGACTTACAGTCAATAAGTTATTCACTATGACAAAGGAAGCTCCTGTTTGAGTCTACCCTTCCTACTCTACCAGCTGACCACAATTCAATATTATTATTCAAGATTAAAAATAAGAGATGAAAGAACAAAGGTTATTCTTACACACACAAAAAAAAAAAAATAGAGATCAACTGAGCAGCTACACTGGGAATATTCTTACACACACAAAAAAAAATAGAGATCAACTGAGCAGCTACACTGGGAGAGAAACCGGCTCATTCAAACCTGCAATAACTGCATGGAGTTGTCACAAAATTCCCTGTCACTGAGAAATGGGGAAGAACAGATAGAAAGAGAAAGCAAAGCTAAAATTCTCATCAGAATTTTCCAGCTGGCTGGAAAATAAATGCAGAACAAAGTTCTGCATCAGAGCACTATCTTGAGGACTGTGAGATTAGAGGGACCCTGGGAGCAAAGAAAACTTCTCATTAAGAGTTTATTCATAAATAATTTGGTTCTACATTCTTTCCAGGAAGTCAAATTCTATTAATAAGCCATTAATTTTGAAGAAAAATACCTCATCAATTCTTCTCCAATTTCAGCTAGTGACAATCTAATGAAAGAAAAGAGACTCATTCCATTAACTTCCCTGGGTGTTGGGGTTTTTTTGGTACACATTCATTTACACACACGAGTCTCTGCATTCTTTTTTTGAGGGAGAATTTTGTACTTTGCATACAACTACGAAGTTTGTACTTGCTATTCTGCTCAGTTGCCAACTGGATACAACAGGCACAAATATTTACCACCTAAGAACTGCTTTGGTCACCACAAAGGAGGCTTTCAACAAGGAGCTAATGCAAAAAGAGTCAATGTCAACAACCAGGTTACATACTCCTTTGTTTCCCCAAACCCTGCATGTAGAAGCTTTGTTTCTCAAGTTCTGAGGGAAACCAAACAAATAATAACAATAAGAAAAAGACAAGTGTGAACTTTAGTCCTTAATAACATGAGAAAGACTCATATTTCATTTTTTGCTGGCTGTAGAACAGAAGACAAGGGCCACTTTTATAGTTGAAAAAATAAAATTAAATCTAAGGGTGAAGTTTCCCCATAAAGCCAAATCCTATGACAGATGACTGCTCCATGACTACTACTTAAGTCAGACTTGCCAACTAATTTAATCACAGCAATTATCCACTCATAATTCTAGTTAGACTGCTTGACCTTATTTGCCTGATCCAAAAACTGATTACAATTCCTGGGATTATCGAGTCTGCTGCAGTCTACGCTCCCTCCCCCAGTCCAGAGGGACTAGACTACCTAAACATAGGCTGATATTCTCGGAAAAGCCAAGGTCTTAAGGTAAGATGTCACAATTTATAGACATGACTAATTCTCTAAACCCATACTGACCTCGTATTAGGTGCCAAGCCTCTTGGTGCCATTGAACACAGACAAGGGATTGCCATAATGCTCACATTCAGGAAGTGACCCTGAATTTTCTGCCATTGATCCTTGTTACCTAAATATAACAGAGTAATTCTATATTACTCCAGTTAATCAGCCATGGTTCACTTTTAAAAAATCCTAAAAGCAGAAACTCACCTTTTTTTGTTCTATCTTTCTTCTTTCTAAAAGGGTGGAAACATGTAGGTTAAAAAAATTGAAGTCAGTAGTACATTTAAGCAACATATACATTATAAAAAAAGTAACATATTAGTGGAACTAAAAAAATCAACAATACTGAGTGGAAGACTGCCTTGTAACAATATCCTCTAAAACAGTCTACAGGAAACACTTTACAACATGTACAAGTTTGCAGTTGTCAAAATACATATTTTTTAAGATTATATCACCTGTTGATTAAATTTGAACAAAGAAAAGAATCTGTACAATTTTATTCTTTAAAGACACATTTCTGTAGCTTTGGAATTGCTTGAGTCAATTTTACTTACGTGTCCTTCTCATGAGTGTCTTCCTGTGGAATTTGTAGAGGGAGAAATGATAATTCACATTCCTCTGGCCTAGAAAAGTATTGACATTTACTATGATGTAAACCAGTATTCTGACTGTTAGACACACTTTTATCAAAGTAAAGATGATTTTAAGGAGATTCTGAATGTACAGAATTTATCTCCTCTTCAACTTGTAAGAGGGATATACATCACATCTGAGTTAAATCGGTCTACAATTAAAATATACTGCTCTCTCTGTCTTTATGAGATTTATTATTTCACTTTCCTCAAGAAAATAAGAAATACTAGAAAAACATAACATCTCTTGGCATACTTGAGATCTGCCAGGGTTTTGATGAAAGCAAAATCCCTCCGCTGGCTGGAGGGCATCCAGCGGTGCTTCTCTGCCAAAGCCAGCGTCCTCGCCCCAAACCCAAACATGGCTGAGAACCCAAAGCGCAGCAGCTTGCTTGCAGTGCTGAAAGTACACACATCTACTGCCTGAATGTGTCCTAAAATTCCACAGATAGAGAAGAGAGAAAAAAAAAAAATCTGTGTTTCAAATGGCACACAACTTACCATTTCTTTTTCATCTACTTTAGCTGGGGGAAAAATCCCTCCAGATTCTTCTCTGTCTAGGAAATGAAGTTTTACTAAGCAAAACCAGAATCAACCTAGATAAAATTAAGACTCTATCAAAGTAGTAATTTCAGATGCTTGAAAATGTTTAGCTACTTCATAAGGCTGCAAAGAGTCTGACTCTTAATTTTTTGCACATTTTCAACAAGTAGAATCAAGGAAAATGTAATATTGCTAATATTTGCATAAAACTCTGCAACTGTTTCACCAAATATATGTAAGGACTGCACATTGTACTGGAGGATATATGGGAATGCTTAAACATAGGGTTTGAATGTATTCATGTTTACAGTTATCAAATATAAACATATAATTCTGTTCAAGACAGGATATATGCATTTTTTCTTTAATAGACCCTGAGCATCTTCCATTGCATTCAGGATCTCTGATTTTTAAAGAAAGCGAGGTTTAGATTTTGCCTGTAAAGGGTTTTGTATTATGACTTGAGAAATAGAGCAAAGGCTCTTCCACTGCAGACTGCAGGACCAAGAGAAGAGATACTCAAGAGGGACCTTAATCTTTTTTCGCTTTTTTAAATTTAAAATAAAAGTTCTAAAGAAATACTGCTTTGAGAGTAAAATTAACATTTTTCTGACAAAGTATTTGCTATTGGTAAGACCCAAAAATAAGGTTTATACTACCAACCTACCTTTCCCTTTTAGCATAATTACATTTTCACATTCAAAATCCATTTATTGTGCAGATCTAGTGGCAAACGATACAGTTTTTTCTATGAATAAAGCTTTCTTATAGAAACTGTTAGTATTTAAAAGAAATGCACCTGGAGCTAAACCCAGGATAGAATCATTTGGGTTTAAAAGCCTTACAATACAGGTTACAGTGACACAGCAAAATGCTATGTCTTTACTGAGCAACTGGTTATGACAAACTTCTACACATTGCTTTATTATTTATAATCTGGTAATGACTGTAAAAATATTTACCCATTACAATGTGCAATGTTGCTGTCACTGCATGTTTAATACCATAGAGTGTATGGGCCAAAATATTTGTAGTACCTGTAAAAGTGAAAAAAAAAAACTGCTGTAAAAAACATGAGAGATACAGAATAACCAGAAAAATCTACACAGCATTTTTAATTACTGCACTTCCAAAAAAAAAAAAAAAAAAAAAAAGGCCTGCCCATGAATTGTCTTGTTAAGAGCAGAAATGATGAATAGTATATGAACAGTATTAAATTCAAACCTTTAAAACTTCCAGAGGTCTATAAAATCTTCTCTGCAAATTCATTCATAAGTGCCATAAAAACAAAGCAGTGGGAGAAACAAACTTTTCACAACATTGCCTGTTTGAGGTTTTTTAAACCATCTCCTTAATCATCACCTCATACATACCCATGGAAGGCAGATTATCTAAGATGTATTTGGGGAATACTTTTAGGTTGGTAAAATAATACCCAGACAGTATAAAACCATATATTTTTCAAGCCAAATGATATTTAACTTAGTCAAAGATAACTGCTGTGCTTCTTGCAGGCTACATTTTAGGTCCTTGGAATAGTGAATAAAATTAATTACTGCACATCAGCTTCACAGGTAAGAATTCAATGACTGAAAAACAGGGCGGGCAGAATGTGACATCTGACAAAGAGGTGACTTGCACTCAGTGCATCAAAACTGATCCATCTCTCTTTTATTTGTCACTGCCTGGACACTGGCAGCCAGTCGTTCTACCAGCCACCAGAGAGAAGAGAAGAGAAGAACAGATTTTGATTTAAGGGAGTGAATAAATCAGGTGACAAATAGAAGAAAAAATCAAACCCCAGCAATGTCAGCGCAGAGCTGAAAAAGAGAGTGGAAAATCAGCTGTCAGTTTGCAAAAGAAAGAAGCAGAGTTCTGAAGGCCCATGACTGGTGGTGACTGGTATGTCAAGGCACTTTACCTGGGTAAGAAACATGGACATATATATGTAAATGTTACCCTTCTGCTTTAATACCTAGGACATAAAACACTGTGCATCAGCTGACTTTTTAATAGAAATTTATTTTTAAAATCATGAAGGAGCAGTTGTGTCTTTCCTAAATAGGTGTTTTAAAAAAATTTCAAATTTATTTTTCTCATTTGTGGCATTGCTTAGCCAAGCAGCAGAGCAAAAGAATTCACCTCTGGAAAAATAAAGGCCTGCCACCAAACAAGCAGGATATTGACTTGTTCATACCACCGATTAAGGGATGAATAATTCAATAACTGTTTAATTAAAAGAACAAAAATTACACAAGAATAGTTTAGAACATAACATTCCCATATGAAAATGAGCTGACATAGACTTTCAAATTATTTTTCTTGTTTCAATTATTTAATAAGCTACAGCAGCAATAGACAATTCTGGATGTTAAATTTGCAAAAGTTTTATGGAAGAATTACTTGTATTTCTAAAGTAGGGGAAAGAGGAGAGGAAAGGGAAATACTGTCACATGTCAAGAAACAGGCACTCAATATTTAAATAAGCACTTAAAAAAGCATAAAATAACAGATTGAAAAATTTTGTTTATCCTCAAATTCTGCTTTGATGTCATGCAGAGTGTAGAAAAAAATACTGAATTTGCAAAGACTGATATACATAATTACAAAGCTCTAAAGGCATCATGCCATTCTTGTTCAGGAATATATTTTTTATTTTTTCCAATAATTTCTCTAAATATAAAAATTTAGTATAACTGGGAATCTCGCAGATCACCTGCTAACTCCTTAGTGCACCTTAGCCTCTGAAAGCAATTCAGAACTTCATGGAAAGCTGCCATACATCAGAGAGAGGAGCTCTGTGTTCCTGCTATATGAAGGAAGTGAGGTACATCTTTTAAGGTAACAGATACACAAAAATTGCAAAAAACCCTACTTTTGACCTAAAAAGTAATTATTCCAGAATACTACAAGTATATGCCCAACTCTATTTCATGTTTGAATGACTTGACAATATTTCATGTTTGAATGACTTCATGTTTGATTTAACTTCCAGATCCAACTAGTTTTGTTTTGCCAGTGAAGGTAGCTAAAGATATAACTCAAAAATACTCAAATATTTCCTTCAATCAGTATTATACAGCTCTTATCAACTGTTAGGAGTCGGTCTCTAAAACAAAGGAAATCACACATACAAGCAGCAGATCATTACAAGTCAGACAAACCATGCTTAACTTCCTTTGTGTCAAGACAGGGCAGTTGTTATTAAAAAAAAAATGTTTCACTTCTCACTGAAGATCAAGCTAATTAATGAGCACAAGGTGGAATACAGTTTGGAAAATCAAGCTTGGTACGAGTTTAAGCTGCAATCCTGATTTAAGAGTAATTTATCAATGCAGATGGCAGCAAGATACCAAACAACCACAGCTGAAGTCGGTACCAATCTTCCAAGTGACTTTAATGAGACTTAAATCTCATTCCTACTAAACAGGATAGGCACAAGTAATTGCATCCTTCTCTTAAATCTTTGGAGCTCATTAACATTTGCAGAAGTAAACAAGGCAAAATCCCACCCTTTCAGGACTCTGAGGAAGATAAAACAAGTTCTGTGTTCAAAAACAAAAGCACCACATCCATCCTTCCTCAAGTTGAAGAATTAGACCAAGTACAGTTTTGTGGGAGCAAGCACCATCATATTCTCTAAAAACTCCACTTAGTACATGCCTACCAGCACTTTTGATCCCGATAATGACTGAATAATGTGCCTAATTAACTAAGTCCTATACAAGCAGAATGCCAGACAAAATAATCCAAACCAAAACAAACAAAGTAAACCCAAAAACATGCAGCCTACAAACAAAGTACAAACTATAAAAGCTATACAAAAATAATGATATAAGCCTTTCTGATTTTAATGGTGATTCAATAATGGTTTTAATACCACTATTCATACTCCCAAGTAATCTCTTTTCCCCTTTGCAAACTCAACATATTATTTACCAATAACAACTGTTCCTCTGAACACTATCATATTACTTCAGAGAACTAAAAACCTTTGATGCCCATGACTTGCACTGCTCACACATCAGTAAGTCACATTTTTAGTTCTCATTACAGCTACTCAATTTAATGTGAAAAGGTTTTATCCATACAATCCCAGCATCTCTATCATCAGCATTTTTTTACAGAAACAAAGAAGATTTTATTACTCCAAAATGCAATCCTGTTCAACATATCAACTGATTTTCCTGACATTACAAACAACTTCCTACCACCTCCTTTCCACCAAAAGTGCAAAAGCATCTCAGTGAGAACAGTATCTGCAGGTCATGTAAAGCATGACTGATGAAGGTACCAAACAGAAATTGTAGGGAAAAAAATTGTCCTTGGAAGTGCAAGCACTTCTGCAGTACAATTAACTTAATTAACCAGACGACATGAATATTCATAAGGCTGTTAATGTCTCCCCCATCCAAACAGATAAATGTGATGTAATGACTTCCTAGTCAAGCATAGCTAAAATTCTGATGAAAACTGCACCAACATTTTGGTTCTTTGCCTGAAATATCACAGAAATTAACAGTCCCTCAGTAATATTTTATTTTCTGAATTAACTGGGAATCATGAATTTATTTATATGAACCACTTTGGATCAAAAGGTTCAGAGGCATCAGATATGGATTGTCTCTTGTTCTGTAGCAACTGGATAGCTTTTTTAATGTCCTTCCACAGATCCCCCTCCCCTTTCTCTGTTTCCCCCTCCATACAGTTTCTTAGCAGTAGTTCCCATAGCAACAAACACTCTTGCTAATGGCCAGCAGTACAACTGCAGGCTTCCCCACATCTCATCCATTTGATTTGGACCACAATAAGGCAGCTCAGTAGAGTATTTCAGTAAAAACATACTCCCCTCTGGACCTCTCTCTTCAGGAGGTAAATTGTTTCAAAAGGATCTTCTTCCCATCAAGATGACTGAAAGTTCAAAATGCTGTCTTAAGTACTTATTATAGAGGCTAAAACCAGATTTTAAGCCACCCACATAATACTATCCTGTAATTCAGTTGTTGATTCTACTTGGCTGGAAAATCCTAATAATTTTTTACAATGGATTTCTGGTGGGAAAAAAAAAGTTAACAGACCAGAGTTGCATCCTCATGAGAACAAGTATCATACTCACCTGTTTCCTATCTGAGTACCTCATGGAATATCAGGAATATGGAAATCAAACAAACAACAAATTATTTTTAAGAACCTATTAGGAGTTTCTCACAATATCATTTTATAAACTGTTCTGATCCTCCTTCACAAAATCAATACCATCCTATGTAAGAAACCCTACAGAATTCTTTTGGGTTTACAAGTCCTTTCTGATCACAACATATTTGTCTTAAACTGAGGAGAGAAAGCACCAGTGAGAGGCACAGTGACCTACACAGACGTGGAGTCAGGGGCTGCAGAGATTCTGTCTCACCACCATGGAGATATTCACGGTAAGTGAGCTGGTAAGTGATGGCCCAACTTTGGTACTTAAATTCACTGAAGTCATGTCTTTGAGATTGTTGTCTCTTTTACCAAGGGTTTTTTAACCTGAGAGAAAGCTGATGTAATATTGCTCCTTTATAAGCAACTAATGCTCCTTTTATATGTGCAAACCAAATCAAAGCATTTAAAAATCTGTTTCCTTAGTTCAAAGTGACATGCTCCTTTTATTTGTAGAAAACTCAAAACAGTGATTTGCTGTTTTACTGGCTGTAGAAACGTTTTCCTTACCAGTTAAAAACATCTGAGAAACTATGTCAAGCAGTCTTAGCAAACACCCACACTGCAGAGTAGTGTTCATGCAAAAATACCTATCTTCTTTTCAAGAGAAGTGATTCATATAGCAGTCCAGAATCAACCCTGACTGTACTGATTTGTGCTGGTTTTGGCTAGGGTAGTTAACTTTCTTCCCAGTGGCTAATATGGGGCTGTGTTTTGGATTTGTGCTGAACACAGGGTTGATAATACAGAGATGTTTTTGTTATTGCTAAGCAGAGCTTACACAGAGACAAGGCCATTTCTTCTTTGTACTGCCATGCTGGTGAAGAAGTTGGGGGTGCCTGGGAAGGTGGGAGGAGACACAGCCAGGACAGGTGAGCCCAGGTGACCAAAGGGATATTCCAGACCATATGACACCATGCTCAGTGAAATGGGGGAAGGGGGGACACTTGAAGTGATGGCATTTAGCTTCCCAAGCCACTGTTACCTGTGATGGGGCCCTGCTCTCCTGGAGATGCCTGAACACCTGTCTGCCCATGGGAAGCAGGGAATGAATTCTTTGTTTTGCATTGATGGCGTATGCAGCTTTCCCTTTTCCTATTAAACTGTCTTTGTCACAACCCAAGAGTTTTTCTGTTTTTACCCTTCTGATTCTCCCCTGATCCCACAGGTGGGGCAGTGATCAAACAGCTGCATGGGGCTGGGCTGCTGGCTGGGCTTAAACCACAGCAGCTTTTGCTGAAGCCTTCCTGCTGGGCACAGCTACACTCCCAGGAGGGCAAATACAAACACCGAGGAGAAGCGACACACAAACCCCCCAACACAAACAAAACCACACCACCAGATACAAGTTAACAAAAGAGCAAGATGACTTTTTAAGAGAGACATATTTTCATGCCTGTAAAGAAAAAAGTAGTTTTTTGCACACCTTTTTTTTTTTTAATATAATGCACACAATGTATTTCTGGGACACCATTTTAAAATAGACCCTAAGCATGAATCCAGCTGAGAATTCTGCCAAGAAAACTGGAGATGCAAAAAAGGAAAATCTAGAAAACAAAGTTTTCACTTGGTATGATTTCTGCCAGGAACTAAGACTGAAACTTGATCTTGTATGGATCAGCTGAAAATTATTTTAGTTTTATTCTTTCTCAGCTTCTTCCTTCAGGCAAAGAGCTCATCTGTGCCATTACTATAAATTATCATTACAATTTAAAATCAAGCCATTTGTAATCAATATAAATCACCAATTTAGGACATTTATTCAATAGCTCCCTTACATAACTGAAGCTTTAGCATCAAGAACTGCCTTTAGTAGCCAAAACTGTAAAACATGCCAGAGGGACTAAAAACAGACTAACAAAAGGTAACAGTACCTTTCATTCTCACCTGCTGGTATTACTCCAAGAGGAACCGGTGCTCTGACAGGCTTTGATACATATTCTGTGTCTTTCCCAGCATCTATCTGGGCTCTGAGCAGCAGCCCATGAGCAACTTCACTGACAGATCCATCTCCACCAACACAAACCACCCTATTACAAAATAAAAATACCAAACAGTTCAAAACAAGCTCTTTCATAGCTGAACAAACACGTGGAAGGCAGCTACCCCACATCATATACATAATGATACTTCAAAAAGCTAGAAAACATTCTTTCTTTAACAACAGGCTTGGGTTTCACGGTCAGATCAGTAAATGTTACCTCAATGCTCCTTAAGCATTCTTATTTCTGCTTTCTGTCTGAGTAGGAGTAAAACTTGAAAACTGTCAAAGTTTGTCTTACCTTACCACACATCATGCACATGAACTGATCAGATGGAAGGAACAAACACATGTTTAAGTGCCTCAGTGGAAAAGCTCTTTACATCTTTCAATGCTGACCCATACAAACATTCCAATGCCTTTTAATTGCCCTTACAATAACAACTCACCAAATATTGCAATAAAATAAAAAAACACTTGAAAACAGCTATTTTCATACACTATGCAGGCAGTTGAGGGATTTAGCAAAGTATAAAATCCTAGTGCCAGCAATCCTTTGCACAAAGGTACTTAATCACTGCTTCTGGAGCACATAATTAAACTCCCACCTGCTGTGGCTATAGAGAGGAATGCATTTGTCTCTAAAAGCTCTGTTACAGCAAACCTTGTTTTTTCCTTGTTTTTGTTTATTTAAGTACATATTACAGTGATTCTCCAAACTAGTAAACATATTTTAATTGCAAGAATAATACATTCCAAGCATTTATGACAGAAGCATCATAGTTACTTTGGGAGGATTTCACCTAAATTATATTATTTTCACATATCTGTATGAATGCAGTTGTGAAAAGATGTCCAATCATTCAACCAGGTAAAATTGGTCAGATCTTTATAAGAAAACACTCATTATGTTATTAACGTTATCAAATATTTAAATTCAATTACCTCATCACCTTTAACATTTTTTTTTTCAGTTTCTATTACTATTTCCAAGCCTAATTTTCATCTCTAATTTTCAGGACTATTTCCTCTATCTAGCTAAACACTGCCACATTAAATAAAAAAATACAATATATAGCTTAAAAAATAGAATATAAAAATTCGAAGCACATTTTCTTCCTGCTTGTAATCAGGAGTCATTGCCTTTCTTTTGACTTATTTTTTGTTTATTCTCAGGCTTAAAATTCTCTGTCACAGTAGCAAAACCAGTTAATCTTTGAAGTCTGAAAAATTGTTTACCCAGAAGGACTTGTGTGGATTGTCTTCTGGCTATTAAAACTTTTGAAAACAGATATATTTTCCTCTGATTTTGGAGTGCTGTGTAGATAGAGTCCAAGGAATAACATGAAAATGCTGCTAATTTTGATTTTTACTGTTTTAGCATTAATCATCAAGAGTTGCCTTTTTGGCTGTAAATAGAGACACCACCAGGCACCTGGGATTCCAATGCTAATCAGTGAGACCCTGCTATGCATAAGTAGTAGAAAGTCTTGAGCAAACAAATTTTACTTAGACCTTGAAGAAAGAAAGAAAGAGAGAGAAAGAGAGAAAAGAAAGAGAGAGAAACTGAGAAAAAGAAGCACCTATTTAACCATTAGATGCAACTTCCTTAATCAACTATTCACTAAGGACTGACTAACCAGGCTACTCTAAATATCCTTGATACTTTAGGCTCCTGACTAGGGAAGAAATGTATGTATGGCATTGTCTATTTCTGTCTCTGTACAGATAGGAAAACCCAGCTGAGACAGCAGCATCACAAATGCAGTCTCTCTATTTGTCACCAAAGCTCAGCCACAAGTCAGGGGTAAAAAGCCAAACTGACAAAATGCCTCAATTTTCAGTGTCCCTGAATAAAAAGTGGATAGCAAAAAAATGTAGAGTGTATGAGACATCTGACTGTGGTCTTTCAAAGTAGAATAGTGACTGGGGAAATCAGAGAAATTATAAATACAAACAAACAGCTTTGACAAAGAATTAACACATAGCAGTGTCACTTTCAGAAAGCACTGAGATATAAACTTCCAGTTTTCTACTGCAAATCATAAACTTCAGTTTACTTCATATACTGTTAACATGGAAGGAACCCTCACTCTCCTAGAGAGAAAATCAAGCTGAGAATTGCATTGCTATATCGTTTACATACTGCAATGAATAAAAAAACATGTTGTCTTGCCATTTCTACATTTTTTGTGTCTCTGAAAAAAAAAAAAGAATAGCAAAATAGGTAGAAGTACACATGCCTATGGTCTTTCAAAAGGGTTCTATTTTTCCAGCTTGGATCTGGTTACTGGAGAAAGCCTTACAGGGGAAGTTCTCCATGTCAACCCAAAGATCAAAGATGAAACAATTCAAAGATGACGCAGTGTAGAAGTATTTGTGAAAGAAGATACAATCCAGGCTTTTTCTTCTTTATCTTTGTATTCTTACAAATACAGAGACTGAAACCCTCATGAAGCATATTTCAGAGAGCTTTATGTTTATTTACCATTACTTATGAATCCAAGATACATTTCTATTGTCAGTAATTAATAAATACCAAAGTATTTAATGAGAACTTAATTTCCCAGGTTTAATATATATGAGAAACAGTGTAACTTATTAAATACCCATTCACATAATTTTGATTGGAATACAAATAAAAAACAACATGATGAGATTCACTAACCTCCATAGTGACTAACCAACTTACCCATCAAATGCCTGCAGTTCACATTCTTTAAGTACTGAAAGAGCATGTCCTTCATATTCAGTTACTGTGGAAAACATCAATTAGCAGCAGATTAGATCATTTTAAATTATTTTGTCCATCCAACATAAGGAACACAGAATAATTCAATTCAGATTATTTTTTAAGTCATTAGTGCATTAAAAGTATGAGAAGTTATATTTTACAGTTATGCTAGCTAAAAGGCCAAACACTAAATTTCAGCTGCTATCAGATACACGGTTATTTCATGCATTTAAATTCAGATAATTCAAGATGTTTGTCGCATCAAAATGCAAGTTCGAGCACTGACACAGTTGGTAAACTTCAGGAAAATAAGCATATCCTCAGTTAAGATAGAATTACTTCAGGATCAATCAAAGTTAATTGCCTTTGTGTTAGGATATGCAAATTGCTAAATCAAAAATAAGAGGAGTTAAACACAGAAGTATGAAATCAAGCCAACTACCAGTGACAACAGCATATAACACACAGAGGAAGGTGGCACAAGTATACACCAGAGTTCATAGCCTCTGGAGGAAATGAATCTGTCACTCCACATTGATGTCTCTGTGTTTGCTGATACCCTGTATGGTACTGTAAATGCCAGTGAAGACAGGATAAACTGGCATACTACAGATGGCATGAAGCATCATAACTACATTTAGCATTTTCTAGGGCAGCTTTGCCAGAAGAGACAGCCCAGCTGCAGCCACCCATCAAAGATTTTTGCTGACTGACATGACACTTGCAGATGGATTTTTTGTGTAAGAATGTGCATCATTATATGCAAAATTACATTAATCTTTCATGCTTGTCTGTCCCTGGTGCTCACATAGTCCAAGGCTTTTCTCCAGTGTTCCTAAACACTGCTAAAATTATTAGTCTTGATGTCTAAAATAATCATTCCATAGCTGTACCTGTTCCAACAGTATTTCTACAGACTATTCAAAGGCTGCTTACAATTCTGCTTTTCAGAATTGAAAATACCCCAATCTCTTCCTATTTAAACAAACACACAAGTATGTGTGTGGACATAGTGAGTGTATATATCTTTTCTCCCCAAAAATGAGAAGGAAAACAAAATCAAAACAAAGGTGATACAACTTTTACACTTCACACTAAAAAATTGTTTATATTTCCTGTAAGTTCAAAATCCCCCAATCAGTACCAGTAAGGTTCTAATGCCTGGTGTTTTGAAAATTCTTAATTAAAAAAAAACAGAGTTGTTTTGATTATATGGAAGGCAGAGATTTATCATTTTGCTGCAGAAACACCTATCACTATAATAACTTTTGCAAATTATTTACAGAATTTACTTCCATGCAGGCCCTCTCTGGAATACCAAAGCACATTTTACAAGCTACCATATTCAGCCTTGCATTGCCAACAGGAACAATGCTTTTATCAATATCTGTAGGCTGTGTGAAAAGTAACCAATAAAAGTGAGCATCATGCAAAAATGCAGAAAGGTTCAAATATCTTACCATTGCTTAGCTGTGAAAGAAACTCTTCCCGTGAAAATAGAGTTGGTTACCAGGTTACATGCCTTTTTAAACGAACACGATGACATTTAGAAAGTTATGAGTACAGTCTAATTAAAATGGAACAGTAAATAAGATTTATTTTGTAACAGAAAACATGCTCCGTGCTTTCCTAATGTAATGTAAGTTATGCTTACTGTTACAGAATTAATTCACTCAAAGAACAAGGACATGAAAATGAAGACAGCTCATGTCTACAGAGAAACCAATAAAGGCAGTAAAATTACTAATGTTAGCCAGATTGAGAGCAAATCCATCCTCTTTGCATCTAATAGCTGAAATTGGGAATTATGTAGAAAAACTGCTAAAGGCTTAAGATTGGGGAATTACAAGAAAGTTAAAATTTGATGAGAGAATGACAGAGGATCTATTTTGACACATCATGACAAAAAGGCAGTGAAAAATGAGGTTTTCAGGAAAAATTTTGTGAGAACCTATAGAAAATAATTCAAGTAGAAAAAGAACCTAGAAAAATTCAACACAGACATAAAATGACCATGTCTAGAAAGTTTTCTGCAGGCTTGATAACCTCCAGAAGGGCATGTATAAATCATTCTGATAGCTGGAAAAAAAAGCTAAGTGTTTGAATATTTGGCACTATTCCAATTTGGGGGGAAAACAAACAAACAAAAAAACCTACTCAATGTATTTCAGTAATAGGAAGAAAGCTCCTTTCATTGTTTGAGAAGGATCCAGATCTCATATTTGTCAAAATCATTATCACAAGAATATTATTTAGTTATTTTTGACCATTTCTAATGCATAATTTAGAAAGATTTTCTGTTTCAATAATGTTTTGTCCTTAAGTGTCAGATGACAGTATTCTGAAGGAAGGACACCAAAGGTGCACCTCATTTGAACAGAGTCACACCTGCTCCAAAAACACTTTAACATCCTCTTCACAGGGCAAGCAAGAACCAAGGGCTTGGCCTCTACACACAGAAAAATATAAAATAATATAATAGTAATATAAAATTAGTTCAACACTTCAAAACAGGGGATGCTTTCATGTGCCACCTAAACATACTGGCACTCCTGCCACAGAATGGAATGCCAAAATCAATGGGATTAACTGTTACTGGAAACAGCTTTTTCTCATCCAGCATCAACACCAGTTATCTGTTGGTATTTACCATATGGTAAGTTTAAACCAATGCTATTTGTCCAACTCTCAAACATTCCTTTCTTTTGTGGTTCTGCCCTAAAAATAGGAGTTTGGGAAGGCTGTTATTTTTGCCTAAAAGTCCAGGTTGTAAGTGTGCATAAATGGAAGCAAAAGAGTCAAAACTAGGAAGAGAAGTGAGACAAGCCAGGATTCTGTCAGTGTTTCCTTTATTTATTTTTCTTTAAATATGTGTAAGACTTTGCAAGACATTAATGTATTTCTAAAATACTAGCTCCAATTATCACAATTTGCCAGTACTTGCAGGCATCTCAACAGTGGAGTAAGCTTTTATAGAACTCAATTTTTGGAAGAGTCACGGTTCTTATCCTAGCAGCCACATCCCAGCACAAAAAAATGCCCAATTTTTAAAAGAGGACAGATTTTAACTATTGTTTCACCTTAGCCACAGTTCAAAGTACTGCTTCAGTTTAAATTTGCTAATTCACACTTTCTAGAGCTCTAAGCACTTCAGAGATTTGCTTACAGCATGTGACAAAAATAACCCAAAAACCCAGCAAAACACAATCCACTCCATAACACCTTTGGGTTTTTTTACTGAAATTATTAAAGTGTAGCACACAAAGCCATTTGGGGGAGTGAAAAAAGAAAAAAAAAAGATGAAAATGCTACAAAATTTTTAACTAATTAGAAAAAGTAAATGCTACTTCAGCACTCACTTATTTACATACATGTCTTTAGACTGCCATATGTCCTTGGGTAGGAGAAAATATTTCCACTCCAAACTTCTAAACACATAAGAAGTTTATTCCAAGAGAAGCTATAATGAAGAATAAGATCTGGAAAGCTGATCAGAGAGGAAGCAACAGCTACCAATGTACAAGACTGGCTGAGGAGAGCTCTGTCTTTCAGCACTCCACTGTCAATCTTTGATGTTCAGAAGTGTTTTTAGTAACCTGAAAAATTTTTATGTTATATGCACCAGAAGCTAATTCAGAGGTTTAAATTTGCTAAAAAATTTTTGTGCTCAACTAATTTTAACTTCTCATTCAATGAATTTTAAATATGTGTATGTGACGAAATCTAAATGTAAACTATCTTCAGTGCAAAAATTGTACAAAAGCCTTCACAATTTCAGTATCTAATACACCTTTGTATGCCACCAGTTATGCAAATATTGGCCATGTTCCAAAACAGCAGGAAGAGCAAGATGCACACTCCAACTTCACAAAATCCAAAACAATTATGGCAGGAAAAAAAACCAGTTCTATTTACTTGAAATAAAGTGCTTGGTTTTATTAGAATAGGGTACCAGTGGGCAGGATTTCTACTCAGCACCCAACACCACCCTCTTTTTTAAAAAAACCCATGATTCTTAATTATTTAGTTCTCTACTAGCATAGAAAACTGCAATGTAGTTTTCTCATTTTGCCTGTAGGAGGAGTGTTAGGCAGCTAATAAGCACAGGAGTATTTCAACATTGCCAAAATAACCTTAATTAAAGGATAGGCCATTAAAAATGTTTCTGGCTCGACTCAGAAATTTCCTATTAAAATTTCAAAGACAAATAATTTTAAAAATAAACTTAAAACTGTTTTTATTCCACTAGTAAAAATTTTTTTGAAACCTCCACAAATTATATTCCCAGCGTGTATTAAAACCTTTTTTTTAAATTGTGACCAAACAAGGCTAAGTCAATTCCTAATATGACAGCATTATTAATCTGTTCACACTATGATCCATGCCTTCCAGGTGGAAAATATGTCTGAGAATCAAAGAGAATTAAAATTTATATAAAGCTGCTGGCATTCCCACTCAGTTCAGGGTAGTTAAGAAATCATTGTTACAGAATTCTAATACAGACCACCTTTTTCACATTTCTTCTAATGTGTCTTTAATCTTCAATTTATTTTACTTTAAATTGTGGGCTAAGTAGTTAAAAATACATGGATACAGGGAATAAAATTAGCAAGACAATTTTCATCTACCATTATTGCACTAGTATATTCTCATGGCCAAATCAGATTTTATCAAAATAACTTTTGGCCTGCAACCTGAACTAGTCACCAGTTCATAAGAAATTTAAGGAACAACTACAAGATGAGACCTCTTATAATTTGTTTAAGCTGACACTGATAATTTTTCAAGTCAGTTACAACAGACATAGGAAAAAAGACTAATTTACTAGTATTGATTGCTATAGGTGAAAAATACTGAATCAATAAAAGAATTACTAAAGCACTTTTGGACAAAATAAAAATACATTGTGTTGTATTAACTAGAGTTCCAAATGCAGTACTTGCAGTCAGAGGCAATAAGGATTAGCAGAAAATTCAAATTGTCTCACATGCTTAACTGTTAGTTTCACAAAGGATTAATTTATACTTCTGAAGCAACTTACCTGTGACGTCAGTTTTTATGTCAGCAAGTTTAAAAAGAGGTGCAACTTTTTCATAATAAATGCTAGTGGCTTCTCTTTTGTGGCTGCTTGGATTAACAAACACTTTCAAGGATTTAGGTCTGTTTTGAAAACCTAAAAAGAAAACAAAACGTTCAAGATTACACACAACCTGATTATTTTTGCAGCTTAAATGGTTCTTTAAAATCAGAACCATTACAATACTTTGACAGGATAAGTAAATTACAGTCTAAAAAAGTCTCAATTTCTTCTTGCATTTGTACTACTTATCTTTAAATTACAGTATTGATGAATTTTGTGTGCACAGCTAATAAACAGCTGTAGGAACCTGAAAAGAATTGTATATGTCATAGCTTAGTTAAACCCTGATTCAGGAGCAGGGTGAGTGTGAAGTTTGAGCGCCAAAACAGAAAAAAACACAAACACAGAAATATATCCTTGTTGGAATTTAATGACTCCCTCCCAGCAGGCACACGAAAGGAACATCCAACAAAACTGACACAACAATCCAACACTCTTCTGAGAGTGCAAATCAAACAGTCCAAAGGAAATTTTCTCATAAAGGAAGTCCAAAAATATAAAGAAACAGAAAATTGGCAGTATCATTTGGAAATCTGAGAATTATTGTTCATTTAGGCCTTTGGAGTAACAAACTCCAAGGAAATAACACTGAGAAATACTGCTATGCAAAGATGAACCTTCTCTTGCACATTGATCCCATGAAGTAATTTTATTATTTGAAACATGGCATTTTGTTGAAGAGTAAATAACTCATACTAAACAAATAACATTACTTTTCAAATTCTCTTTCCTAGAATTCCTACAATTGCCATGGTTCAGTGAGGCTGCTTTGCTACAAGAAGCAAGCAGTAGTGTGCAATACTGCTCTTCTTTTGGTGTTTATTAAAATACTCAATTTGAACAATCCAGAATTTTGTTTCAGTATCAGGGTAGACTATCACTTTCTTAGCCAAATAAAAGCTAGAATATCTGGCAAGTGTACTGCTTTCAACATTCAAGAACAAAATTAGTAGTAGCCCACATCTCCAAAGGGAGCCAAGAATGAAAGCACATTTTCCTGCCCCATGAAGAATACTACTTCAATTTTTGCAGCTATATGTACCCTCAGCATCAGCAGGGACTTCCAAGCTCATTCCTCTTACTCTACCTCAACAACTGAACAGGAACAGTTACTCAAAGAAATTATAGCTAAACACTATTTCAAAATTAAAGAGGAAAGTATTCCTTAATACCAAAACATAATTATAGAAGTCACAGAGATAATTTTTCCATTTATTTCAACACATCAAAGAATCTTGAACAGAAAACTAGCTCTTTATCCAGTTTGTGTCAGAAAATTTAGAAGAGTTCTTAAATATACTGAAGGAAATTATTGGATCTGTTTGCTGCTATAATCACAAAATCATACACACAAAAAAAAAATGTATAACCATGTTTATGTCAAAATGTTACACAGAGTGCCAAGTCATTGCAGAGCAAATTAATCCTGGAGAATCCTGAACGCCTGCAGTAACAAGCACCTGTGTTCAAAAGCATCTCTTTCAAAGGAGGAAAAAGAAAATAAGGAACTTGGTGAGGACTGTGGATGTGTTGTAGGGAAGGGTTGCTGTTCATGAGGAACCTGATCAGCTACAAGAAAGATCAGAGAAAAGCCTGACGATGTTCGATACGACAAACCCAAAGCCCAGCACCTGAGCCAGCCAAACCCTCTGAGCGTGGGATGGGGCCGGGCCCAGCGGGCAGCACCTCAGGGAGCACTGGCAGCTCCCGGGGGACTGGAGCTGACATGAGGGAACAGTGCCAGGGCAGTCAGGAAGGGCAGGGGCTCGCTGGGCTGCAGGAACAAGAGGGCAGCCGGCAGTCCAAAGGATATCACCACAGCCTTGTTCTCAGCATCTCCTGAGCCTGAAGCTGAAGACCTGCCCCCATTTCCAGGCCTCCCAGCACAAGAGAGATGAAGGGCAGCAGGTCGGACACAGAGCTGCCCCTGGAGCAAGGGGCCGGAGCAGGCCACAGGCAGGAGAGCCGGCCTGGCAAGCCCCAAGGACAACATCTACTGAAACCTTTCCTTGAGCATCTCCTGTGCGAGCCATAGGCCACCAAGCCAGGCTTCCCACAGGTGCAGGGACAAAGAGGCCATGGACACAAGTGGCACAAGGAATATTCCAGTGAAATAAAGAAAAACACCTTTCACAGTGAGGGCAGCCATGGATGACATTGTCCATCCTTAGAGATTTTCAGAACTTGTCTGGACATGCTCTTAGCAACTTGATCTTTATTAGAAGCTCACCTGCCCTGAGCAGGAAGCTAGAATGGATCAGCTCCAGAGGTCCATTCCAACCTAAAATCTTCTTGATTCTCTGGAAACAGAAAGAAGTACTGCAGGTATGTACTGCAGTGGAATTTCTTATTACAGGAATTACAGCACAAACAAGGAAAACTAAACAAAAGCCTCCAAAGACTATTAATACATACAAATAATAATCATAAAGACATCTTAATTGAAATCTAGTAACTGGTATTGTTGCAGTTCTTTAGAAGTTATAAAAATATTAAGACCAAAAAATAATTTCTGTGACTTTATCATTTGCCTAAAGCATTAGTAAAAATTAAGTGGAAAACTTATAAGAATAAGGACTCCTGCTTCAAAAGAGAAAAGATTTAACCAAATTCATATATGTGCTGTCATATTTCTTATCTTATTTACAAGAAACTGTGATCAGCTGGTCCTCCTAACACTCAACCCCTCACCAACACCCACAGCTAAAAACCTGTAAAAACTGACTTCAGTCATGGATATCTGAGTATACCTTTAAAGTTACAAAACAAGCCAAAATCACACCCCAAACATACAAATATAAGAGTACAATGGACAAAGCAGGGGGAAAGAATAGGACAGTACAGTTTGTAGAAGCAGAGAAAGCAGACGAAGTGTCAAAACTTCTGTTACCCATTCAGTGTGAGTTACAGTTCTGCGAAACAGAGATCAGGAGAAAATTGAAGGGAGAAAAGCAAACATCACTATCTCACTTCAGTGTTTTTTGCATGTGAGATGTAAAAATTTAACCCTAGGTGGCAATATAAAGTTTCAAAAGAAATCCTACAGAGGCAAAAGAAAATAGACTTTTCATTGGTTGGGGGAAAAATCCTAGATTTTTGAGGAAATTGTTTAATTTTTTTTTTTTTTAAGAAAAATTAATTTGTTAAACCCTTCTAAACCAGAAACTGTATTTATGATTATGTATATTGGGCTATTGCTGAAAAGCATATCAGAGTTAATATATAAATCCCAGCAAGATTTTCAAGAACCAAATGAATTCACAGGTTCAAAGTATTAAAATATTCTCTTTATGACTATTTGAATATCAATTTACTTTTTTAGAGAGATAAAACATTTCATTGATGGAAATATTTTTCACAAACATTTGAGCTGAGATAGTACCCTACTGAAGTGATTTTATTTGTGCCAAATAATTGCCAACTGACATGAAAGGATGATCATGACAAAATTTATTACTTTATCATTCCTGGTGTGCACTGGACACATTAGAACATACCAAAAAACTGAGTTTAATGAAAGCATATCCTGTAACAGCCAAAGATTAAACTTTCACACAATATAATTGTGAAGCTTCTTTAAAGTGTTTTTGAATAATAATCTTTTAATTGTCTTTAAACAACATCTATATGAATGAATCAATGTCATTGACTACTGTGTGCAACTGATCCCAGTCTGCCAGCCTTTTGGGGCTCCCCTAACTGGTATTCTGTTATTGTTTTCCCTGGCTGCTCCATTTGAAACGAGCCAGCAGCCTAAAGCAGGAAGGCCAACTGTTCCCCTAGTACTAACAAATGTGCTAATATGCACTAGTTTAAACTTGATCTATCAAGTGAATCAGTGAACCATGAAGGGTGGTGGGTCACTCAGGGTGTTCTGAAAACAAAGGCTCCTAGGGCAGCAGAGACGCTGTGCTCAGACATACATCTGTGCTGCTTTCAGGCCCCAGCCTCAGGAAAATGGGTTTATGTTACAAAAGTTAAGAGCCTGGAATCATGTCATTACCACCTACATTTATAAATACTTTATACAACATTAGGAATATTATACATGAGAAAAACTAACACTATGAGACAGAGTCGTTGATGTAACTATGGAGACACCACTGTTAATATTAACTAAGCAAAGTTAATGTTTAACATTAATGGTTTAATTAAAACTTCATGCATGAAGTTTCAAGCTTTCATATCAAATCCCCGTGTGATAGATACTACAGAACAGCAGATAAAAATAAAATGCACTTTGTGCTATTTTGCTACTTTACCATTTGTTCTTAACCACATTTACTGTCTTTTATTAGTTTAAAGAGTTTTTAAGTAAAGCTTTTTCAAATCAGCTGTTAGTAAGTCTTATCTTGTTAAAAAAAAATGGATGAGCGTTGACAACTGTACATTTTCTCTCATTTTTGAGCCTGCCTCAACCCTTTCAGACCCACTGTGTATTTGCATGTGCAGAGGATTTTAGATGAAACAGTGAATTCTACTGACACAGTGTGTCCCCACAGGCCATGCCTGTAAATCCTGTACAAAAAGATGTGATGTATAAATGGAAATCACTGAGAGTGGGGTGTGCACCAGGGCTGGCACAAGATAACAGCACACTAGACCCTGTCTAACCTGCCCTTTGGGGCCTTACAGGAGCCAGCCCAGAGCCAAGGCTCCAGAGGTGCATAAAGATGGCAGTGGTCATCTTACAGCAGTTTAACACACATGGGATGTACAGATCAGATTTCAGGAACACTCTATCAGTGAGCAAGCTCTTCATATCTAGCTCGCATGCACTGGAACAGCAGCAACAGCAGGCAGAAAATAAGAACTTCCTCAAATATGGGAAGATGGTGGTACATATATTTTGTTACCCTGTCACACATCCACAGAAAGAACCATAATAGCAGTCACTGTAACTAAATTCTAAACATTTATATCTGTGTGTGCTCACTTACATGATAACAGGCTTCATAAAAATTACAGTTCAGTTAAATTTTAAAATGAAGTGCTCTGAACACAAAGTCAAAGCAACAGAGGACACTCACTGTGAAGATAATAAAAACGAACAGGGAAAACACCATTTATGTCATGACATGTGTCATGCCAGACACAGATCACACTGTAAAAAGAAAACTGTGTGCATGAAACTTCAGAAAAAATAAAATCCTCATTAGAAACCTCCAAATATCACCAATAAACTTGCTATTGTTGTTCCCTAATTAATGTACATGCATAAAAACCTAAAAACTTGTCAAAGAGTAAGGTAAACAAGTAGAAATTGAATTTATCTGCAGAGGAAACACACCTGTCAGTAACATGTACTCCCATTTGTCAGAATGTCTCAATATTATTGACCAAATAGATATATATGTTCTACTCTGATAAATCACCTGCATTTAATTTGATCCAGCCCAGAAACAATAAAAAAATCCTTCAAGTAAATAATGCAGCTGCTAATGAAAAATTACTTTGTGATCAGACAGACTGGGAGAGGAGGGAGGGCAGGGAAGTAATATTTACTACTTCAGAAGGATAAAACCAGAAGCAGCCAATTTGAGTTCATTAACAAGAGTGACTCCAGCACTATTACCAAAAAAAAAAAAAAAAAAAAAAAAAGAATATTACTGTTTCACACAAAAATATCAGCCACTGAGAAATCAAGAGAACTCAGCTCTCAGCTGCATTGTATAGTTTTAGTTCAGACTTAGAAGAATATACACATTAGCAATTGGTATGATGAGGGTTTCATTTGGTTTTTTTATCTCTCTGAGTCCTGTTTATTCCTGAAGTAGAAGGCACGGAGAAAAAAATGTACTGATCAGAGATTCAGAAAACATCTGTAAAAGGTCTGAGCTTCTGGAGAAAGACCGAAGCAAGAACTTGAAACAGCATTGCACAGAATGCTTTTTTTTCAGGTTCAGGTGGCTTCCAATTACAAAGCTATAAAACACAGACTGCACCTCGAGGTCAAGGCAACCTGAGCTAGAGATACTGCAGCTTTTTTTTCTGTGAACATATGGTATCACTGCTCCTGATAGATGGACAGTAATCTAGGTACAAAACAGACATTTGCTCCTTATGCAAATGTCCTTGCCTTTATGGGTAGCTGGAGATCTACAGGAATCCTGGCACTTCCGCAGATTGAGATATTTCATGATAAAGTCTTTCAAAAGGGGAAAAGGGAAGGCACTTTTCAATACACATCTTCATTGGGAAAATCCAAAGCATACTGTAAACAAACAATGCAAGAATGCACCATTAATAACTTATGTTGTTTCTTTAGTATCTGCTTGTGAAACTTGAGTAAAAGCACACCATAAATTCTTATTCAAAGTGTTGTTCCAAACACTACAGATGTACAAGGTTTGAATTCCATAATCTGGCTCAGTCTTAACAGTTCAACTGGAGTTCTAATAGTGTGTGACAAGACAGACTGCTTTTCTTCTGTAATAAAAAAACTCATTTGCCATAATCTGTAAACAGAGGCACCTTTTGGAGTTAAATCAGAGTTTGGTATTGGGGAAGGGATGTAGTTTTAGTTATTTAAATCAAAAGTGTGCTACATTCTGTACCTTTCAAATATAAATTACAGCAAAAGGCTTGGATTTCATGTGGGGCTCTTTCCCCTATAAGGCGAGTATTTTTTTCTTAATTCTGATAGAGTTTCCATAAAATAAAATAAAAAACCCCAACCAACCAACCCTACAACTGATTAAACAAAGCATCCTGAAATTGGCAGTAGCCTAGGCAAACACAGAAAGATACTTTTAAAGTAAAGAATTGCATCCCATCATTATTGTCAATAAATTTTGTATCAAATTATGCAACAAGAGTGCTACAGAACCTTAAGAGCACTGCCACCTGTGAATTCATGAAGATGAGAAAAGTCTCTCCTATTAGGCTCCTAAAGAACATGGAGGTCTCAAGTGGGATTTCATAAACCATCACCAGTAAGTTCCTGAAGAGCTCCCAGAAGTGCAATTACTGTAGTACTATCAGTTATGTTGCAATTTCAAGTGAAAATATCATCTAAATATGTTATTCCTTTCAGAAGCAGATTTCCCAGAAGATTCTTCAGTCAGAATAAAGAAAACCACTTCTTTTCAGTATCTTCCAAAACTCTTCCAAAAATAACATCAATTTGCTTCATTTTTACAGATACATTAGTCAACTATTGTCACTTTCCTAGATTTTACACTTCACCATGTAAAACTTCAGCAGTAAACATTTGCCAGAAATAAGATTCATGTCTTATATGAATTTCTACAGGCAAGATGTTTCTGAGCTTCAGTCAGCCTCATGTATTGACAATAGAAATAAATACGACATCAACCTCTATTAAATGCTTACCATTTAAAATTTCCTTCAGATGTCTAAACCATGACTGACAATGATCTTCACTTAAGTTATTTAAATGAATAGCACAGTCTGTAAGCTTGTTCTCTTCTTTATTCAAGCATTTAAAAATTGTGATACCCAACAAAGTACCACCTTTTTTCTGCCCTGCAAAACGACGACGTTTCAGTTTTACTGAAAATACATCCTTCATTTCAATAATCTCCTCTTGAGCCTGTAAAGCCACACTGGAATCACCTGTAAGGGGAAAAAAAAAATTAAAAAGCATTACTACAGTGATTGGGAGTAACAACTGAAAGTATTGTTAGGGCTTCATTTCTAGGTTCACTTCTTGCATCTGTTCATGCTTGCGTTGAAACTCATGGCATATCATTTCCCTCAATCATTGGTCTTTTGTTTTACCAACTTTGTTATGTATCCAGCTGTACAAACAAAACAATTTCAAAGAGGTTATTTACCCAGCTTTCTGGTGTTCAAAAAAATTAATAAAATTTCACACTCTAAGAAAGACTTTTTTTGAATTCGCATTCGAAAAGCAAATTCTTTATTCACCTAAATCATAGCAATCATAGAAGTCATATTTGCAAATCATAGATCAGAAAGGGTGCCATGACCCAAGCTGATTATATGCTCACTATATTTTCTCATTTGATACAACCATTACCTTTGTGTTTACAGCAGAAACGTACCAGAAAACAGTCAAGGAAAAATAGACAAATAGGCCAAAACTGTGTTACCCATCTCTGCTTTCATTTTTGATTTATGAATTCAGTTTAGAAGACAAGAAAAACATTTTCAAAAAAATTGAAGATCCTCATCCCAGGGGAGATTTGTGTCAGCTAAGGGAAGGTTTTGTTATCTTGGAGCTGCTATTGGTGTGGATGCTGTGGCTGCAGATGCTACACCACTTCATTTCCAAGTGCCTTTTGGAGATGTATCAACTGAGGCACTATGGTACAGGCTTCTCCTTTTTCTGCTCTCTTCAGCTGCATTCCAATTCCCCAAAACCAATGTCAAATACACAAATTGAAGGAAAAATATCACCCTTCCTGTAGGTATCAGATTCTTTGGACGCAGAAAGAAAATTTTCCCTGCTTTCTTCATAATTAAGCAGATCTGATACAGCACATCAATAAAGGTCCCTTTGCAGCCCAAGGCAAGAAATGCTAGAAAGCAGAAAACTTCCCCAAATCTAGCAACAACTCTGGTTTCTCAACAGCAAAAACTGTAGCAGATTCTGTTTGATGAATAGTTCCTACATGCTGCACTGGAGGGTTGGGAAAACCTATTTTAATTGTCACCCAGGGAAAGATGGACAGCACCCCCTACTTCATTAGACCACATGAAGCTGAGGGTTTGAGAAAGTCACATACTTTTTCTGGGCAGCAAAAAGATGACTTTGTCAATTCTTGTAACAGTTTGATACTGTCATTTCTGAACATCATTTCTCAAAGGGGGCTATGCAATGATAATTTCTCTGTCCAGGAATCCTGGATGACTTCTCCTCAGCCATGCTAACACAGCTAAAGCTCAAGCCAATATGACATCTCCTCACAATTCTCAACCAATTCATTTTCTCCTGTTCTGTACCAAATAACGTGTGACAAATAGAAGCATGACCTTGCTATATTTCCCACATATTTTTTCCAACTTTTTACAGTCTATCATCCTTAATATCTCCATAAATCAGCTACTAAGGTGTAAAACTGGACTGAAATCATTCCACTCTTAGCAGGAATACTGTGACAAGTAATTGAGAGTAATGTGCATTGAGACAGTACACAGGAAATTGTCTGTAGTGCATATTTTCAGAAGTATACAACAAATAAACAGGAGAAAACTCACCTAAATACTTCTTTAAAAAAACCCAACATAAATCCTGAAGTACTGTAACAACTGCTGTAAAAGTATTTCAGTCAATGTATCCTTTAAAAATGAGGGAACTGAGGGGGAAAAAGTACTGTATGATTCCATGTGAACTACAATTTTACACAAACTCAAAGTGGACATTGTACAAACAAACTTGGTACTAACATTACCAAACCCAAAATCTTCATTTCTGTCAAAATTTGTATCTTATACAACATTTAAGGGTAAATAGTCTTTGTAGGCCTGAAATGAAAAACTGACTGGTGGTCCAAAATTACCTAGAACTTCATAGTTTAACATGTACATTAAAGACTTGTTTTAACTTTTAGAACAGAATTTTTGAGGGGGTTTGCTTAGGTTTTTTCACAAAGTCTCACTGTCAGACATCAAGTACACTGAATATGCCGGCACACAACCTCCATGTCTTAGGAGAAAGGAAATTTAACCACAACCATTCTGCAGCAATAACTGATCTGCAACATTCATTTTCCCAGACCAATACAAATATTCTAAGTGGGCTTGATTTTTAAATACTTTTAAATAAATCATTATTTAAAATAAATCATATTTTGGATTTAACTCTTAGTTTTGCTGAGGATATCATGAACTCTATTATGCCAATGTTGTGGATGTGCATCACATATAAGTTACAAACATTAGTCTATTTATCCTGCACAAGTTAATGAAAATGGAGGCCTGATAAAACACTTTTTATTTCCCACGGGCTTTCATAAAATGACATTTAATCTTAAGCCAGGTAAGTTCTGCATTTTCTTTTCATGACTGTTTCAACCAGTTATTTATTTACTTGTGCATCTTCCTCTGACTCCGTATTTATCAAATTCTTATGTTGCTCAGATGCATATCAAAACTTTTGATATTTAAAATAAAACATTCTTACTAGGCAGCACTAGACTTTCAAAACCACTATCTGACTTTGTTGGTTTTACAGGAATACATTTCCAGATGCATCCTGGAAAAGGATATAAACTCTAGGAATGCTGAATTGCATAAAACCATCATCCTTGAGTTTTAATTTCTAGAGGAAATGTTGAATTAGCTAGTAGGATTAGTACAGCCTATTTTTTCCTAAAGTTGTAATGAAATCTGCATAAAACCCCAGGCATATTCTATGACTTTAATTTTCTCTCCTTACTGAAAATAAGACCATCTCAAATGCAGTAAAGTCGTATAAAACAACTCAGAAAAAGAAAATTTAAATCACGAGCTGTGTTTATAAAATATTTCTAGAATGAGGTAACAACCAAGCTTACTTTTGCAATAAAGTATATATTGTATTAAACACTTTTTAAACTTTGAAAACCGTATTGGCTCGTTAGTATCATATTGGTTATTGCGAGCAGTTTCAGGACATTAACTGTCCTCTCACATTACTCAGAAAGATATTGGGTACCATCTGTTCTTGCAAGAGATTTAAGTGTACATCTATTAGATATCATGCTATTTATTTAATTCAGTACCCACTCCCCATTGTTGTATCTTCTGAAAAAAAAAAAAAAAAAGTCAATTTAATTACAAGGAATAAAGATAATCTCTTCTACCAGGCTGTCCTGTCATCATGAAAGCAGAGAGGGAATAACCTGCATAAAGTAGGTTACAGGCGTTAGGGAAGAGCAAAACTAACAGCACTTAACATTTAACAAAGATCTAACAAAACCAGAATATATGGCACTTTAAAAAAAAGTTACTATAAGCCAAGGGCTTGTCTGAATCAATCTCAGCACATCTGCCTGATGTAGAGCGTAAACAGGATTAGAGTTGGATTTATCTGCTTGACGCTAATTGTACTCACAGTTTCTGCACATGTCCACTTTTTTTTTTTTTCAAATACATCATGAAAAAAAAGAAAAACCTGGATAGATGAATTTCTAGGAAGTTTATGCTCCTATTTATCATCTCACTAATTTCAAGCAATGAGACTATCCTACCTTTTTCTTATTTATGGTAGTCTAATCTCTTACTTAACAAAAAAATTATGTCGGAATCAACCACACTGAGCTAAATCAAAAGATGAGGAACTAACACACTCAAATAGAGTTTAATTGTAAATAGTAAACCACGTTTTAATTAGTTAAGAGTGTTAAATACCTCATGTTTACTGCAAAATTTATGAAAATTACACAAAGAAAAAAAAGCAGTACAACTGAAAAATAGAAGTTTTAAAGAAAATGTGGTATTTAAATATAAACACCAACACTTCAACAAGGAATCACTTTTTTGACAATTACCTTACCACAGAAGCCCAACATCTAGATGTGGTACTTAATGACTTGATTTCCATAACAAATATCTGGAGTACATGGAAAATACCAGAAAATACACATCAAATGTGACAATAATTCAAGTACAAGAATTGGACACAAAGCAAAGAGACTCCCTTGGTCACAAATGGTTCCTATGACCTTTGGCAAGATACCGAGCCCTCCTGACTATAACAAATAAATAAATCTTTGACACATTTTAGGCTCTCTACATTCTCAAAGTTTACTTCCTTAATAGTTGATTGATATAGCTGAGTGAGGTGTAACTTAACAGAAATAATTAGAAATTTTAAAAAATCATCCAGACCATACTAAAGAAAATACAGTGATCAGTACTTATTAATGAAGTGTATTATTATAAAACATTTATTTATTATAAAATTGGTCACAGGCCATCCTATACTGTATGAACACTACTTTCAAAATAACCATTCAGGACATAAAATAAAACATAACTATATTAATATAAACCCAAAACTAAAATAAGTATAATTAAAAATAAAATTATTTTTGACAGTATGTCTATAAATCTATGTTTAGGAATATTTAATTTAATACCTAATGCCTATAAACCAGCACCTATTAGTCCATCAGTTACTAAGCCCATTTTTCCCTCACTGTAAATCAGCAAAGCACAGAAAGCAGCATGAGCTGATTCATAAAACTTCTGCAGTTTTCAGCTACTTATTGATTAAGAAGGGCTGACAGTGAGAAAAGCAGATATGATCATTCTTGCCAGAAAAGCCAAGAAAAAGTGTAAAGCTTTTCTGGCTATTTAGCACTTATTTAACTACTCTAAACATGAGACAGAAAAGCTATTTCAAAACACATGAATTTTGAATGATTTATAATTTCAAAAAGATAGGTAATGCAACACTTCTGGCAAAATTTGATGCTATGCCTCTTATTCTCTTCTGCAAGCAGAGAAAGCAAAATTCCAGTTTCTGCTTGCCAAAAGTAAGCTGAGGAGAAGATGGTACAGCCAGGATCAGGTTGGGGAGGGGCTGGTTTTTGTTTGAAGATTAGTTTTACATTACTCTAGTCCTTTTAAAAGGTGTTACAGGAGAAGTTTAACACAAGCAGGGC